TGGTTCAAATTAAAAATAAGTGGCGCCCAACGCGATAATAAAACACAGTAATTTTGTCCAATAAAAGCAGAAACTAATCACAAATTATCGGCCCTTTCTGTGGTTTCATTTCGACACTTCTCAGAATTCTTCCAAAACATGTAAGCTCCTTCTCGGGGACTTTTTATGAAACTTGTCAGCACTGTGTCCGTGGCTTTTCATATTCCTTTCATTTTCAGTCCACCAACCTAGACATGCCAGTCTTAGGTGCCAAATTAAAATCGCCGATTCCTTTAAATCCTTAGTTTGAAATTTCAAACCTGAGAGATGGATGTTTCAGCTCGAGCACATAGACTTTTTATTTCATGTAAATTGCGCCCAACATACAGCTCAGTCTTGAGTGTGAAAAACTGAGTGTTGATTATTTTCAGTTCGAGGTCAGATATTTTTTTAAGCTTGAGTTTAGGAATTTTCTTTTCTGAACCCTGCGTTTTACAGGCCTTGATCTAAAACTACCAATTGTGAAATTCTAATCCTGGGTATTTAAATTTCAGCCCAAGGTCTGAGACTTCTTAACGTTGAGTCTGATACTTTTTATCACTGAGTCCTAGATTTTAATAGTTTTAATTTAGGGCTGTTACAATTTGTTGAATCAAAGCTTATCCATCCTTTTTTACCTTTTCCGAAACTTGTCACCTCTGGGTCCGGGGCTTTTCGTATTACTTTCATTTTCAATCCTCTAACCTAGATATGTCATTATTAAGTCCTAATTTTCAGTCTTCGATTTCTATTTCATGCAAATGGCGCCCAATATACAGCTCAGTACTGAGTGCTAAACTTTTAGTTCGAGGTCAAATACTTTTAGGGCTTGAGTTTGGGACTTTTTTATAATTCATCTGAAACATGTTAGTTCCTGCTCGAGTACTTCCCAAACTTTCAGCTATGGATCCTTTTAGCCTTTCAGCCTTTTTATACTACTTTCATTTTCAGTACTCCAACCTAGACATGTCCCAATTATCTGTCTTCGATTTATACTTCATGTAAATGGCGCCCAACGTACAGCTCAGTCCTGAGTGATAAAAACTGGCTGCTGATCTTTTCAGTTTGTGATTAGAGACTTCTTAGGTTTGTGTTTGGGACTTTTCATTTCTGAAACTTAAGTTTTACAAACATTCATCTAAAACTACCCAATGTGGAATTTTAATCCTAGAATTTGCGACTTCTTAAATTTGAGTAAAACACTTTTTATCGCTGAACCCTAATGCTATTTGATCTAAGGCTATTTCAATTTTTAACTAAAACGTGTCCTCTATTGGCGCGAATTTAATCAGCCCTTTGTGTGGTTCATTCCGGGACTTCTCTGGAACTTTTAAGCTCTATCTCGAGGACTTTTTTCTTTTCCGAAATATTTTGAGCTCTGGGTACGTGGTCCTTTCATTTTCAGTCCTCCAACATAGACATGTCAGTTTTAGGTCCACTTTTAAGTCCTAATTGTGCAATTTCAAAGCTGAGAGATGGACTTTTCAGTTCGAAGTCAGAGATTTCTTGAGTAAGTTCCGCATCCCTGAATTTTACCGACCATGAAAAAATATTTATTTACACTATATTTTAATAATATGCTTGACAACACTTGGCGCGGAATATACCAGTCGTTGGAGAGAAACTCCGGCCGTAAGACTGAAATATCGCGGTGCCAGATATTCCAGTCTTGCGGCCGGTCCTTAAGTCCTGTCAAAACTAGAACATAATTTAGCAATCTTCGATTATATTAAACTCTGAATTTGGGTCAGGTTAGTTTCGGGTGAGGAACCTCATTCAAAATCGTTTACAGCAATGAATTCTGGACTTCAGAACCTCGAAACTAAGACTACTTTGATATTTAGAACATAATATAGCAGCCTTCGATTCTATTAAACTCTGAGTTTGGTCAGGTTAGTTTCGGGTCAGGAACCTCATTCAAAAAATTTTACGGCAATGAATTCTGGACTTCAGAACCTCGAAACTAAGACTATTTTGATATTTTCCTCCGAAAACTTTCGGAATTAGTACGATCTATGCCATCAGTACATTTCAGCTCTGATTTATGACGGGTTCTCTTCGAGACTTTTTACATGTCGGCTAAAGTATGTCAGTTCGATTTTTTATTTAGTTCATAATCATGTATACTCTTTGTCCAAGACGTGCCAGCCTTAAATTCCGAGTGTATAATTTTAAAACTTAGCTTTTCCAATCCGACACATTTGAACTCTGAACTCTTGATTTTACATAAGACTTATTAAGGCATTTGGCGAGATTTTTGAGCTAAAGTCCAAAACTTATAAGATCTGACACCAGGAGTGGGTTCAAGACATGTCCCGTCCATATTTAATATTAGATTTAGAGGTCACAAGAAGAACCGAGATCACAATAATTAACAATTGGAACTAAACAGCTGGACCTAGTTCCTATCGTTCCTTCATAAGAACAATCGCAATGAACTAGTTCGCTCTGAAACTACACAATTCTACTTCTCAGTTCTAGGCCCGGGACTTGTTGGCCACTGAACATTTCCAACACTGTTTGTTAATTGTTTAGTTTTGGGTCAAGAAAATTTTATATCCACGCTCTCTTTCTGCGTTTGGTGCTTTTCACATTTTGGTAAGGGATATTAGAGCCTTTGGACCTACACATCTAAAGCCTTGGTCTGCAACTTGCCATCACTGGTTCTGAAGTTCTCATTTCTTTCACAGATTCTTAATTACTACCACTTTTGTCCACGACCGGGCAAATCTCTGTCTGTGATGCGGGTAATTTCAATTTTTTATCTGCGAGAAGTTGGTTCTGGATCTGCTCTATTAAATTATCCTTTATGTTAACTCTAGGTCTGGAGCTCTTTTAAATCGTTGTACCTTTCAATTCTCTGGCCACGAATTTTTATCACTGAGACACTCTCCTGATAACCGCTAATCCTCATAAACAATTTCTAACCAATTACCCATTTAATGACCACCTCCTCTCTCTACTGTCCTGCAGTGATAAGAAATAATTCTTAATTTGCATTTTGTTTTTAAAATCCCCTTAACAAAATTAAATTTAAAAAAATCCGCGTCAATTAACTGAATATGTCATAAAAAACATAGAGAATCTAATCCCTAAATAATTGGCTACAGTGGCAAAGAAATTTACTACCAGCCAAACAAAAAGTAAAAATTGCCACTGGAGGACATTTGGAGGAGACGAAGTTGTCGCCGTCACTTCCCATTACAAAAAAGGGTAATCACCAAAACAAATTATTGTTGGTATCACAAAAATTAGCCAAGGACTTTTGAACTATCTTCATTATTTCAAATCATATTTTATTTTATTGTTCAATTTGTTTTGACATAGACGGCGGAAGGGAGAGGGGAGAAGATATTCAATTTCCCTCCTTCCTTGCTTCCTTTTCCCATTTCAAAACATATTTGAAGAAAATTTATGAGGTCCTTTTTTCTGAACACGTTAAACAAATCGTTATTTTGTTCACAGATTTGTGCAACCCCCCACCCCAACCAACCACATTTCTTAGACAAAACAACCAAGGGGTGATTTTTTTAATAGACTGCCACCAGAAGTCATCGTTTTAAACTCCAGCACGGCCACAAAGTACCCTTGATGTTGTTAAGCGTTTAATGTATCACCCAAAATGTTTGAAATCAGGTGGTGGTGGTGGGGTATCACTTCCGTATTCAATTGTAAAAAAGGCCTCACAGCAGGCAGTGGAATGCCACTCTCTCGTTTTCAATAATCACATTAAAGTCATGGTGTGTCCTGGCCGTGGCACAACAACAACAAAAAAGTGATTTTAATGCATCCTTAATGGGATAAAATCAGTGTCTGCTTTGTGGTTTTGTTTGTTAACCATTGAAAGACAACAACAAAAAGAAATATTGAATAAAAAACTCCCCGCTCTGTGGCATGGGCAGCCATTGTGGTGAGTTTTGAACATTGGTACTTAAACATGAATGTTGTACAGCCCTCCATCCCATATTTTGGTGGGCCACAATTCCCTTTCCTTTTCTCTTTTTTTAATTATTCATTGTGTCGCACGGATGTTCATTTTTATCACAGTTTAAAATTCACGGAAGTTTTAAATTTAATTCAATTGTTTTGAAATCAACATTGGTTTTACGCTTGGAAATAAACCAGGGACTTTATAAGGAACCACAGGTCTTTATAAAGAACAATTGGTCTGTATAGAGACCAAGGGTCTTTATAAAAACCAAATGGTCTGTATAGAGACCACAGATCTTTATAAAAACCAAATGGTCTGTATAGAGACCACAGATCTTTATAGAGACAAATTGGTCTATATAGAGACCACAGGTCTCTATTACTGACCAATTGGGCTGTATAGAGACACAGGTCTTTATTACAGACCAATTGGGCTGTATAGAGACCCCAAGGTCTTTATACAGACCAATAGAGACCCCATGGTCTTTATAATATAGAGACCCCATGGTCTTTATAATATAGAGACCCCATGGTCTTTATTACAGACCAATTGGGCTGTATAGAGACCACAGGTCTTTATAAAGACCTATCGGTCGGAATAGGGACCATAGGTCTGTATGGAGACCACAGGTCCTTATTACAGACCAATTGGGCTGTATAGAGACCACAGGCCTTTATAAAGACCTATTAGTCGGAATACAAACCACAGTTCTTTATAAAGACCAATTGCTCTGTATAGAGACCACAGTTCTTTATAAAGACCAATTTCTCTGTATAGAGACCACAGTTCTTTATAAACCCCAATTGGTCTGTATAGAGACCACAGGTCTTTATAAAGACCTATTGGTCGGAGTACAGACCACAGTTCTTTATAAGGACTAATTGGTCTGTATGGGGACAAGAGGTCTTTATAAATACCACAGGTTTTTATAAGCTTGACTTTGGAAGACTTTCCGGCTTTGGAATCTCTATTTATTACTATCAAGTACACACACAATTACTATTTACTCATTACGTATAATATTTACAAAAAAAAATCCAATTTTATTCCTCTAAAGTTTATGTTTTCCCTCGAAACCACACAACGGTTTCAAATGTCCATCCAATGGTTCAAAATTCATATATATCACAGCATCGGCGGAACTTAAATTCTCTAAACGGTGAATAAGTTTCGAATGTAAACGAAATTCCTCGACGGAAAAGTCAACGGTACGATATGTTGTTGCCAGACGGGGGCAACCAACATGGAATTCATCTCCTATAAGAAATTGGAAAACAAATATTTTAAAAATATAGAAATCCATTCCAAAAAGTTGTAGGTTTACCTGGTAAAATTGATACAGGTCCATCGGTACATAAATATAAAATCGGGTGATTAATTGCCACACCTTTACCCCTACGCTCGATGGCAAAGTTCTTGAGGAAATCATATGATTTGTATGGCATAAAACGTGATATTTCATAGAATTGCGGAGGCATAAAGAACATATCACCATTTTTAACCATATCCAAAATTATTGAGGGTGGTAGCCACTAAAAAAAACAGAAAAAATAGGCACTATAGTATAGTATAATTGAGACATCAGCTGCGCTAAATGGATTACCTATTTATTGTGCCATGTCGAGGATTAAATGTACATATACTTACCAAATGTTCCTTAACTTCGGATACCTCACACAATATTGTTGGCTTTTCATTTAAAAATGTTATATAGAATGCAGTTTCATAGCTAGACAAAAATATAGGTAATTAAAAAAAAATATGCATAAAAAATTTCATTCAAAATTTACCCCTTACGTATGACAGCTGGACTTGCCCAACAAGACCATTCATGTAAAGCCCATAAATCGGGAACTACTTGCAGTTCACGACACATTTTAAGAAAATTCAATGGATTATCATGTACCGATTTTTGCCACTCCTTTTTATCCGCCAGCTCCATATAATAACCTTCATTAACCGGCAAATGTAATTGATGTTTATTGCGGCATAATAGTATTCCGACCTCTTCGAATGTTTCTCGTATGGCATTAATGCGTAGGGAAATTTCTCTGTGAAATTAGAAGAAACGTTTGGGAGTGTTAATTGTTTACATTAGGCAATTTTAACGGCAAGAACTCTATGATCTGCTGTTTGTAGAAATGAGAGGGATAATAGTTCTTAGCCTCACTTCTTTACATACTGAGTAATGCCGTTACTTAAGTTGATATAATTCGAATCTACACTGATTAAAGAATGTCTTTTCAAGTGAAAATCTCAAGAACTCTTGAAGATATAGCCGATTTATTGTGTCAGCATCAAGTGACGGCTGAAGGGCTTCTCAAACTTTAAACGCGTTTTTCTCTAAACATTTTTTTGCGAATGGCGGGCACGATAACTCAAAAACTAATAATCCAATCGGTTCCAAATTTTGCAAGTGTATAGTGTATAGCTCTCGTATGAACTAGGATAAAGCCAATCGGTGAAGATCTTCCTTATTTTTTAACTTGGTTTTTGGTAAAAAATCCGCGATTTTTCAAAAATATTTTTTCAAACGGCCACCATTTTCTTAATTTTAGAGCGAAGTCAATAATCCTAGTTCATACGAGAGTCAGACATGTACTCTTTCTAACACCGTTGGAATTTTCGGATTCCGATGTTCCAGTGAGGAGTTATCATGCCCGCCATCAAAAATAAGGACTTTTCTTTAATTACAAAAAAACAACAAAACAATAACAAAAATTTTTTGTAAATTATGTTTCTACTCTTTTAAATCTTCAATTATATATGTGCAAAGTTACAAACCGTAACAAGCATTGGTATTGATTTACCAGCCCATTGAAAATCTTGAAAAATTAAAATCGAGAATGGGTGGGGTTCCCTTAAAGTGTTTCACTGATCTTCATTAAATAAAAATTCTCTTTTCCTTACCTAGCCCATATTTTATTACTCTTAAAAAATCGATCATAACACCCAGTGCCCTGGGGAGCTAAAATCTTGGGTCTCTCTGTTTTAGTATCAACAACTACCAATTGTTTTAGCTCATCTTGAGTTATACCAAATTCTTGAAAATATTTTAACCATTCAATACTTTCATCGGCAGCATCAAATATTCCGCCAGGGAATACACCTTGATTTGTCGAAATTGCAGTTTTATCGGAACGTTTTATGAGCAGGATCTGTAAATGTATTTAATTATTAAAATAACCTTTTTAAATATTCCTCCAATACTTACATTATAATCATAACCATCTGTCTTCTTGGGGTTTTTCGTACATATTATTAAACTTGCCGATTCACGCCAAATGGGTCCTTTGTCGAGCTGCTTTTCCTCGGCCATTGTTGTTTAAAGCGAAATCTTTTTGGGAATTGAAATGATCAAATGTTAAATGCTTGTTTATTTTTGGCCAGAAAAGAAATTGATAAGAATTCTCGGGGAGTGTTGATATTGTGATAAGCGCCTTTACGCGTCGAAGAGATTATATAGCCCAAGATTATGTTTTTTTAATCGGCAGAGCAAATTATACCTGAATAGAATTTCGCTTGATAAAAAAACATATGTTTTTTGAAATCTATATGTTTTTATTTTAATAAAAAAAGGGTTCAAAATCTTCAGTATATTTTTAATATGTGTGAGCGTATCGTAATGAAATAATAGTTTTTCTATATATCTTTAGTCCTTAATTTCAAATTCAATTTTCAATCAAAATTACCTACACACAAATATATTAAAATATAGATCTTTCGCGTGAGCTCATATACACTTATAACGACCGATTTTAGGATTTCTAAAGGCCGTAGAGGCTGGAATTGAAATCGCAATTGAAAGAAGACTCCCTCCCAAAACGTATTCACCTTTTAAGAAGTCCTCCTCTGAGAATGAGCAATCACAATATTTAAAAACATAAACTAGGTCTTCTATTAAATGCAGATTATCGAGTCTCTATTCTTGACTTGAAAATCATACCCTTTTGGTTTTCGATATTGCAATATTGATCTGTTGGGTTAGCTCATATACTATTATAACGACCGATTTTATGGGTTTCAAAAGGTATTAGATGCTGAAATTGAAGGAGGATCTCTTCCCAAAACGTATCCACCCTTCAAGATGTCCTCCTCTGCTAGTAGGACAAAAGAATGAACAGGTATTAGAGGCTGAAATTGAAGGAGGACCTCTTCCCAAAATGTATCCACCCTTCAAGATGTCCTCCTCGGCTAGTAGGACAAAAGAATGAACAGTCCCAGTATTAAAAACAATAAACTAGGTCTTTTATTAAATGTTGATCATCGGTTCTCTATTTCTGACTTGAAAATCATTCCTTTGGGTTTCTATTATAAATGTCTATCTGTCTTTCGCCCAATATTTCTAGAAGGATGGGAAACTTTCTTATACAGAATAATGATTTATAGATAACCCAATGATTATCTTGTGTATAAGCTGATTAGAAATCCATAAAATTATCCTTTTGAAGATGACCCAAATATTTTCCTTTATACAAAATCCAATGACGTATCTTATGGAGTTTCCAATGATAAACAGTGCTTCATATAACCGGAAACAAATTAGTCTTATGGAAGAACAATTAGCCTTTAATATTGGTCCATTTAAATTTAACATTTCTTCGTCAAATACATCCACCTCTAGATATTTAAATTTTGGCACTGTTTACCTAGAAACCCATAATCATAGTTTATTAGAAATAATGCGATCTTATATGGACTATGACATTACCTGGTTTTCGTTAAAAACTTCTAAGATATCCCAAGAGCTTAAAAAATCCGAAAAATAATACGTTTAACTACCCTTTGTACTTTGGTAATAGAAGAGGTTTACGGATTTTTGTTTTTAACTTCATGACTTCTTCTGAACCTCCAGCTGATCGCAAAGATTATAATTAGAATGACAAGAGGTATCGAATTTCAATAACATGTATGGAGATTTTAAAAATATGTTCAGCTATTATATCAAATTTAAGAGGTTCCGGAATTTATTGAATTCAAATGTCCCGATGTAAATGGAGAAACTTTTTTTTTATTAATTACATTTCATTATTAAATTGTTAGAATTATATGTCTTATAACATAATATCCCAAGTGGTACTCCTATACCACTTGATATTCTTAATTTTCTCAAAGTGTATGCGATCAGCTGTTTGCGTATCACTATTTAGAGATTAGAAAAACAATAACAACAACAAATAATTATTGGTAAATAAAAACAAACTTGTTCCAAATTCCATAAATAAAAAAAATTTCAGGGAAGCACAAAACATCCAACAGAAAACCACCGAAAACTTTGGATGCAATATTCCTTCTACACCAGCATGGAGTAAAGGCATAATGGAATAAAAATCTAACATTACAATTACAATTTACTACCTTCCCAGAAAGGCACTCGAACAAAGTTCAAACTACTATCAATGGAGAAGTATTGTTTCCATATTAAAATATCAAAAATACAAATATGACAAGCCACGACGAATATGAGAAAATCTATCGGCCATCTGCCACAATTATTATATCAGCTAAAACTGACTCCAAGGAACTTGGTTACAATTATAGGGTAAATATGAATGCAGATTATTGAAATTTTTATTTATTTATTTGTTATCTCCTCAGATACTCTTAGCCAAGCGAACATATAAAACTGCCTTTGCACCCGATCACCATGTCTTTCCGGGAGGTGTTTTTGATGCCAAAGCTGATGAAAATCCCCAGTGGTTAGATCTGTTCAAAGAAAATGGTGTAACAGAAAAAGAATTACAGAAACTGTGTTTGGAACATTTACCCAATCGACCGCGACCATTGATGACAAATAAGAAATTTATGTCTCGGGATATTTCCTTACGCATTACAGCCATTCGAGAAGCCTTCGAAGAAGTCGGTGTTTTGTTGTGTATAACAAAGAAACAATTTGCAACTGGTAATCCAGGTTATGGACAATTCAGGGATAATTTCGACAAGAGCCATTGGCAGCAACGTGTCCACAATAATTCCATGGAATTTTTGAACTTGTGTAAATATTTGAAAGTAATACCAGACTTATGGTCCCTACACGAATGGAGTATATGGCGTAGTCCACCGGCAGCTTTAAAGAAATATGATACAGTTTTGTATTTTGTGGCTTTGGATAGGCTGCCGCAGTTGCTTTTAGAACCTAGTGAGGTGGAAAAGGAGTTGGTAATTACAACAATAAATTATTTTTTTATAAATTAATTAAATCTCTTTGTTCTTCCATTCTCCAGTGGGCCTCTCCCTCATTTGCCCTTAAATTATATAGAGAACGTAAAATTTGGCTACCACCTTTACAGTTTTATGAAATCTCTCGTCTAACAAATATTTTAAATTGGTCCGAACTTAAGAAGTTTGTAAAAAATCGTAGTACTAAAGGCAGTACCTTATTGGTATTGGCCTATTATCGTTGTAATGATGACGTTCTCGTCGGAACACTGCCAAGTAAGTGAATATGATACAAAATTATTTTGTTTTATGATTAATTAAATTTTATTTTTTCATTGTTTTTTTTTTAGATGACGATTTCTATCCCAAAGAGCCTATAGACAACCGGGAGACTGTACAGCTGGAAGAAGATCCCACGCAATTCCATGCCAGAGCTAAGAACCTTCATCGTTTAGTCTATAAGGATATGTATGATTTGGCAATAATTTGTAATATACCAGGCTTGGATGGTCACCTTAGTCCAATGAACCAGGGTTTAGAGGAGGAAAAGAGTAAATTGTAAATGTAAATATTTTGGAAAATAGGACGATATAGAATTTATATTTTTGTGCTTATGTATATATTTTATTATAAGTTAATAAAATTTTAATTTTGATACAAAATATTGTACCTTTATGTTTTTCATATGTGGTCTCAATTGGTCCTTATGAAGACCTCTGGTCTCTATACAGACCAATTGGTCTTTATAAAGACCTCTTGTCTCTATACAGACCAATTGGTCTTTATAAAGACCTCTTGTCTCTATACAGACCAATTGGTCTTTATAAAGACCTCTGGTCTATATACAGACCAATTGGTCTTTATAAAGACCTCTTGTCTCAATACAGACCAATTGGTCTCTGAAACCTCTGGTATCTATACAGCCCAATTGGCTTGTAATAAGGATCTGTGGTCTCTATACAGCCCAATTGCTCTGTTATAAAGACCTGTGGTCTCTACACAGCCCAATTGGTCTCTATAAAGACCTCTGATCTTTTATAGAGACCAATTTGTCTTTATAAAGAACTATGGTCTATATACAGAAAAATTGGTCTTTATTAAGAACTATGGTCTATATACAGACCAATCGGTCTTTATAAAGTCCTCTGGTCTCTATACAGACCAATTGGTCTCTATAAAGACCTCTGGTCTCAGACCAATTGTTCCTTAAAAAAGACCTCTGGTATCTATACAGCCCTATTGGTCTGTAATAAAGCCCTCTGGTATCTATAATAAAGACCTGTGGTCTCTATACAGCCCAATTAGTCTGTTATAAAGACCTGTGCTCTATACAGCCCAATTGGTCTGTTATAAAGACCTGTGGTCTCTATACAGAGCCGTGGTCTCTATACAAAACAAATAGTGTATATAGTCCTGTGTTCCAGGACCATCAAGAAACTTATATAAATCGAAATTATTTTACAACGTTTCTAGTACGGGAACAAACCGTAAACATTTAAATAGTCAAACGTAACTAGTTCACATGGTTTCTTTGAAGTGAATATTGATTTTGAACACTTCAGCAAGAAATTGGCACTAAACGATTGAATTTGTACATAAACAATAAATTAACATTTTTACTAATAGATAGTGGACCCAGAAGGCGTCCTGTCCCCAAAATTATTTCCTAAGATTACAACAACAGCAATGAAACGCCTCAGTACGAATGTCACACAAAAACAGCTTCGGGCTTTGGCTGTAAAACATGGCATGAAAGAGGCTGCAAATACCACAGAAAAAATCGAATCGCCACTAATGAAAGTGGATTCTAAAGGACAACTGATTTGTGTAATTTGTCGTACCCCTCTAAAATCGGCCAATATTTGGAAGGTTCACGTCAATTCCAAAGCTCATAAAAATAATGTACAAGCTGCCAAGGAACTGAAGACGACGCTCCTAAATGCCGGGACCTCTACTTTGAAAACAAATATTCCCACAAAGACTGATGGCAATGTCAAATCGGCTGCTGTTCCAAAAGATACTGTGCACGGGAAGACAACAAAAACAACTCCAATAGAATCTAATTCAATTAGACCACAAGTAGCCTCTGCCACAGTGGACACCAAAAGTTCAGAGTTAGCGAACAAATCATTGAATGATCCCTTACCAGCTGAGTTTTTTGATAGTAGTGCTGCTGAAGCGAAAGCCCAGATTGCCGAAAATAAAGATGCCGAATGGGAATTGTTCCAGAAGGAAATAAAAGAAGTAGCCGAGGCGTCATATGAAATTTTCGTGGCCGATCAAAAGGAATTGGCAGTGGAAAAGGAGCTTGTCGAGATTGATGAGCAGATACATCATTGGTCCAAGGTTTTGGAATTAGAAGAGAAAAGGAAAAAATTGAATAAATTTATGGAGAAAAATAAATCCGCTCACAACTCGGATGAATCAAGTGATGATGTATCCGAAACGGAGGACTTTGATGAATACACAGATTGGAGGGCAAAGGGGTTTAAGTAGTTTACAAAGTTTTTTATTATAAAGAAAAAAATGTTTACCATGTAAATTATTAAAAAAAGTAATAAAACAAAAAAAATATTTAAATATTTATAGTTAATATTTTTATTAAAAACTGTTATTGTAACAAAATGTCATTGTTATTTGAATCTGCATAAATATTACGACAGGCATGACACATCTGTGTCAAATCACAGCCCTCAATATCACCAGCAACATGTTTTTGGGCTTCCATACTTAACTCCGACGTATCATCCTCGGTTTTAATACCACATTCCGAAACAATGCGAGAAAATTCAATAGCCAATAATGTCGTCGAATCCTGATAATCCAAAGGGGATTTACAAAATTTACAACATCCTTCCGTTTTATTATTATCATCTCCAATTTGTGAGGCTATTTTAGAACCGGTACGAAACACTGTCGATACCGTCGATGAATAATTCTGTTGTAAATCTTTAACAAATGACTTGGTGAGATTTTGCAAACTTGCCGAGGGTCCACAATCATTGCCATATATCCGATGATCCAGTAATGGGAGATTTTGAGCTTTTATATACAAACCAATTTCCTCTTCGGTTAGGTCTTTGAGAGGCCTTACAATTTTAATATCATCATCTAGACGATTATCCACCAAGGCAACATCCAATGCAGCACTGCCTCCCCTACCCAAAGCAATGGCTGCCAACAGATCTGAGGCTAAATCTGAACTTATATCTGCCTTAAAGGCAAATTGACATTGAAAGTGCTTTGCAGCAAGGGCAATAATTTTACTTCGATAATGTTTGATGAAATCTTGTCGGGATGTTAAGGATTTCAGACAATCTACTGCCCCTTTAAAATCCAATTTTTGTTTAGCCACTGTTGAAAAGTAATTTTCCTCCAACAATTTCAAATCAAAGATTAAATCCTTAACATAATCCGCCTTCACCAATGGCAGTAGGAAACATTCAAAATGTTCATATGTTCCACAGGTCTTTTGTACATCTCGCAATAGCTTTTCATAATCCTTGTCGTCCTCCCCGTTCACTGCATAATCATCTATATAAAGAACTGTTGCATTGCAATGCAATCTCTTAAACGTATTCTGAGTCTGAGCATGATGTAGCATATCCAAAAGCACCAAAGACTGTGCACTACCATCAAACACTAGCAGGACATTGGCATTCTTGGGTAACACTTTGGAGGAGCCCAATGCTGCACGAAATTTATGTCGTACATAGTTGAGGAAGCAATCCTTACATTCTGGTTCACGGAATGCCAGTTTATATGCAGCTCCAGGTTGTTTACATTTATTGCACAAACGTTCAGTTTCAATGGATGATTGTGATTCGTCACGCTTTACATCAGGTACCATAGAATGAACTCCACCCTCATCCCCAAAGTCATCTTCACCAATGCTGCACATTTTTTTATTTATATATTTTTTTGTTTTTAAATAATTTATTGATTTAAATAAACTATTCCAGCAGCATGCTCGTTCCAAATGACGTGAGAGAAGGTTTTAGTGTTGCCAACCGCATAGAGAATTTGTTTATTCACGAGTTCACGTTATGCGCTCGTTCAATTCAATTATTCACTGAGCAAAGAGGGACTAGTTTAATCTATAAATCTCAGACATTGACAAATTGCGTTAAAAAATATCTTTATAAATAATATAAAAAGATTTGCAAATTATGGACAGGGGTCGTTATAGACAACCTGAAGAGGGAGTCTATAGACGAGATGAAAGTAGGGAGTCTATGGACGCATTTAAAAGAGAGGCAGAGATTCTAAAGCTTGAAGGCTGGTGGTTGAGATGAGAAAAAAAGTCTTTATGGATGTTCAAATTAGTGGAAGGGGGTCTTTATGGACCAGCTGAAGTGGTAGTCTATAGACGAGATGAAGATAGGACGAACTTAACAGATAGGCAGAGGTTCTAAATCTTGAAGGGTGGTGGTTGAGATGAAAAGATGAATAGTATAGCCAGTAATAGATAAAAAAAAGATGCCAGTCCAAACAATATGGAATTCATATATCAATATCAATGTATATATGCCGATTGGCATACTTTAAATAAATTAAACTAAATCGCCATATACATTAGAACTTTTTACCGTGTTAACCTACTTTATGAGGATTTATTTGACATATATACAAACGAATTGATAATTGACAACCACTGGGTTAACGAAATCCGGTTAAATGTAAACGTACTATAAATATATTTTTTTATAGGTGAACCAAGGCACAATGAATAGGTAGTCCATTTAGCACAGCTAATGTCTCGATTAACTGTAAAAGTGGGTAATTTCTATGTGCAGTATTGCCAAACATTTGAAATATTATATGGAAAAAATTGACAGATAATCGAGACAAAAACAAAGGTTTTTGTTTTAATACATCACCTTATTATTGCATCCTGAGCTGAACATTGTTCTCAAGGTTTAACCAAGGTTGTTACAACTTATATTTATAAGTTTAGAGCCAGGGAACTTCAAAATATTGATAAATATAATTGCTTTAGCAATTTTTGGAAGTATGTGACCGTATGAGACTATAATTAGTCATTAATTGGATTATTGGATTTTTGTGGCCTTAATATCACACACAACCACTTAAAAACATAGCAAACCTATTTTACTGCTCTCAACTCAGTTCTTTTTGTGTGAGCGAAGTGAACTGAAAGAACCAACTGCAAATCACTCCTTTGGCTCATTTCACAGAATCACTCGTTTGAACCATTTCTCGTTGCTAAAAGACAACTCTACAATTCGTTCGTTATTCGTTGAAGAACAATGTAAGTGGCCTGGTGTTAAGCGTAATTTATTATTAAATTTTAACCAATTTAAAGTGCATAAAAACAATAGAAAAATATGTAAACGTGTAAAATAAAGTTGTGGCAACACGAAGCGAATGAAATTCTTTCGGAAATTAATAATATAAAACAAAAAAGTCTTCGTCTATAGAATTTGCCAGTATTTTCGCCAGTACTGTTAATTTCTACAACGAAAAGCGAGTGAAAAATCGAGGAAAATCCACTACTCGTCGCCTTATTACGTTTGGTCGTGTGTGTTTGGTTGTTTGTGTGTGTGGTGTGGACTATAACTCGCCTCGTTCATGGCAACACACATAATATCATTGTGAAACAAAACTAAACGTGCGTGGATGTTGTTTAATTTTGTTTTTGTTTGTCAAATGCAAAACAGAGAAGAGATATAAAAAGAATTGTAATTAATTTAGTTTAAAAAGAAAATTATTGTGTTAATAGAATAATTCATTCGCTGGTTGTCATATTAGTTGCTGTTTTTTTCTTTTGGTGGATTTACGAATGACGAGCTACAAAAATTGTGTTGTTTCCCTTTTTCGGACACTAGGAGTAAAAGAGACAGTGTATGCTTTGTTGTTTCTTTCTCCTGTTTACGATATTTCGTGTACTCTTCTGGCTAGTAGTTGACACTACAATCAGTCGATTTGACGTTTACGATACACCAGCCAGTATAACGTCACATGCAAAGAAATTTACAAATTCATAAAACATAAATTTGCGCAATATTTTGTAATAATTTATTGAAATATTTTATAATAAAAACAAAATTACAACAAAGCAAGTCAAGGGGAAGATCAACGACTAATACTTTGCATCAAATTTTCTATTTTTCAGATTTTAAGAAAGAAGAGATTAATATTGGAAGAAAAAAAAACAAGAAAAATACGTGAATTGTTATTGTTGTATACCACACACCGAGAGGAGGAAAACAGAAAAACACAAACAACAAGCAGCGAATTTGGTCGTTTAGCGCAAAAGAAGAAAAGGCAGGCAAGGCGAAATTCAAGACCAACCCCCTACACACACACTCTGTGAAGATAATAAAGTAGCAGCAGTCCAGTCAGTCAGTCGCGTTTCAACATAACTAAACATGTTGATAAATAATACAGAAGCATTAAAAAGCTGGCTGGTTGTCATACTAGAGCCATTGTAAGTTTAAAAAAATTAATAATTATAAAGAAAATTATTATTAAAAATATTAAATATTTAATTTCCTTACAGATGTGATGCTGATTCTTCTGCCTTGGCACGTTATGTGTTGGCTCTATTGAAAAAGGATAAACCGGAAAAAGAGCTAAAACGTGTTATGATCGAACAATTGGATGTCTTTCTAACCGAAGAGACTAAACCATTTGTGGAACGTCTATTCGAGGCCATAAATAGTGAGGAATATTTAAAAACTCCCCCGCCAACTGCCAATCCCAAGTCAACGACTACGGACAATGAGGATGAGGAGACAACATCCACTGCAGTGGAGGCAACAATAAGTAAACCATCTGCTGCCAGTGATGCTTCAACATTGCCGACGTCATCAGCATCATCGTCAAATGTGATAAATCAAAATGATAGCGATACAATCACTAGTGTTACCGCCAAATTAGATGATAAAATTGCCCCCAGTGGTTCGTATGCTGCGGATAGAATTAATACACCACCAATTGAAGAAGTGAGTTGAATATTACAACAACATAAATGTATATGTATTTTAAGAGGGAACAAGCGACAGTGTTTAATTTTTTTAGTCTCCTGGCAGACAATTTGATTTGGTTCACCTCAACCTGTTTTAATTTTATTTTTCAATAATTATTTTTATATTTACTTATTTATTAATTATTTTTTTACTTAATTATTAATTAATTTCTTCTTTTTTCTTGCAGAGTAAAACCAAAGATACCCACAGCAATATTACGACAGAACAACGTACCTCAGCACCATCTACATCATCATCATCCTCTCACCATCATCATCAATCAGGTTCAGTGTCATCATATCATCATCATCATAATTCATCGTCAAGTCGCAACGAGACACATTCATATGGTGGAGGAGGTGGCGGAGGCGGCGGCAGTGGTGCCGTTCATTTTAACAACGATCGCCATCATCATCGTAGTGCCAGTCCTCCTGCTGCCCGTACAAATCCTGCTGACAAAGAAAATCAACCTCGTGAAAGTCGCAGAAGACGTGCCTCACTGCGTTCTCGTTCAAGATCACGTTCCCGTTCTCGTTCCAATGAACGTTTATCGCGCCGTTCAAGATCTCGTGATCGTCGTATTAATGAACGTGAGAAAGCCCAACGTCAATTCCGCAATAAATCTCCACCAAATGGTGGAGGTGGCGATTCCCGTCATGATCGTAGACGTGGTATTGGCGGCGGTGGTGGTGGTGGAGATAGGCGCCGTATGATGTCCAACAATATGGGTGGTGGCGGTCCCGATGATCGTTCACCTAGATTTGGCGGTAATGATCGTAGAGGTAGTGGTGGCATTTCTGGCGGACGTTCAACAAATCATTCGTCCAATTCGCCACGCAGTCGTTCGCCTTCGCTGGAACGAGGCGGCGGAAGAAGTGGAAAGGCGTCACCTCCCTCACTGGGACGTTCTCAAAACCGTAGTGGCAATGGTGCCAATTCAGGTGCCACCACATCTCCCGAACGTCATCATCATGACAGCGAAAAGAGACAAAGATGTCGTGACTTCGATGAAAAAGGTTACTGCGTAAGAGGTGAAACTTGCCCCTGGGATCATGGTGTAAATCCCGTTGTATTTGAAGGCCTCAACAATTCTGCCCTAATAAGTATGTCGTTGCGTGAATATAATCCAGACGCCCCGGATCTTTGGTCCCGCTCCGCACCAGCCCCTGGTCCAATTGTGGGTGCTGCTGCACCTGGAGCTATGATGGCTGGTACTGCAGCCGCAGGTATTAATCCTTTTACTGGTACTGCTCGCCCAGGTGCTGTAATTATGGGTGGCCCAACGGGACCAGTGGGTTTCCCGCATGTTCCTGGTACAGATAAGGGCACAAATGGTGCTGCGGGTCCACTGGCGGCTGCTGACTATGCTCGTACCGCTGCTGCCGCCGCCGCTGCTGGAGCCGGTTTCCGTGCAGCAGCACCTATGATGCCGTTCCCATTCAATCCAGCTGCCGTAACAACGCCATTACAACGGGAACTAATCCCCATACCCGTTGTAGATGCCAGCGGAGGCGGTGGAGCACCTGCTGCCGGCGGTGATGTCAGTGCAACCCTACAGGCCCAAAGTAAACGACGCTTTGAACTGGAAGATTCTGTTGCCATAGCCGACGGCCCAACAAAACGTAAAATACCAGCGCATAGCCGTCTGGGACCACGAGTGCCTAGTTTACAAAACTGCTCCCTGGAGTTACGTAAAGTGCCACGTGGTCTCAACACCATTGCTCACCTGAACAATCACTTTGCCAAATTCGGTAAAATTGTCAATATTCAAATATCGTATGACGGCGATCCGGAGGCAGCTATTATCACATTTTCAACCCATGCCGAAGCAAATGTGGCTTACCGCAGTACCGAAGCTGTGCTCAACAATCGCTTCATCAAGGTATTTTGGCATACTCCCGATCCGAATGCAGCTAGTGATGTCAACACAATGGTGTCACAGCCACCTGGTGGTATTCGTAAAAATAGTCAATATCACTTGAACAATATTCCCGCAGTACCCACACCAGCCGCTGATTCTGCCAAAACCGCAAACACTAGTCAATCTCAGACCGGAACAAACAACACCAGTACAACAGCAAGCACAACCACATCACCATCGGACACAACGACCAACACAAGTACCACTTCAACACCGACCACACCGGTTACCGCCACACATGTTCCGCCACCGTCGCTACGTCTGAAAAACAATATACCACCAAGAACACCCGGTGCTGTCGTGAACACTGCCATGTTCCGTAAGAAACAAGAGGAACAGGTAAAGGCCGTAGCTCAGCTGGCCAATGGCTTGCGGAAACGCAAACAAGAACTTCTACAGAGTTATGTGAAACAAATGAAATCGGCCTTGGAGTTGGTGGAACGTTGTGAACCCACAGATCCGCAAAGGGCCAAAACGCTGGAGACCATTAAAGTGCTACAGGAAACCATTGATAAGTTGCGTAAAGAAATTGCTGCCGAACAGGAGCAAATACAGGCACAAATACAAAATCAACAACCACCAACACCGATCAAGAAGTCAAAAGAACAGCAGAAGAAAGAATTGCTGGACATTGAGTTGGAATTGTTTGCTCAACAACAGGAAGGCAATGATACTACGGCCATACAGAAACGTCTTGAAGAATTGCAGCGTAGTATTGGTATTGTACCGGGTTCGGCATCGAATGTGCCACTTAGCGGTTCACCGGGTATTGGCAAGTCACCTCATTACATACCAGGGGGTAGACCAATACCGCGAGGCAGGCCTAGTTATCCTGAAGGTTCTACACGTGTTGATCGTCGCCCGAAGACAATTATTGTTACCGGTTTTGCCAGTGAAGATGCCGATTTTGTGCTGGGTCACTTTAAGGTAAGTAAGGGAAGGGGCTTTTTAATACGTTTTTATTTGTTTAATGTTTATATGGAGGAGATAATAATTTTTCTGATGGTATGCAAAAAATGTTTGATGATCTCGCTGCCGATATGAAAAAGAAATTAGATGAACAAATGAGCAAATTTTCGAATGAGGTTCAAATGTTAGTTGATTCCGTTATTGGTGGATTATGTGTCCAGCTTTTTGCTGCTGTTGGGAAATTGCGGAATGATATTTCAGAATGTCAGCAAAATGCTGAGAAAGTCGAACAGTCCTGCAGTTCCTTGTTGTTGGAATGTCAACAAAATGTTGAAAAATTGGAGCATGATCCTAGTGTTGCTTTAGCTCATGCGGAGCAGGAGAATCTTGTGTTGCAAAGGCGCCTAAATCGTGCGGACATTTTGATAAATGGCATGCCCCGTTTTATAATTGTCCTTCGTTAGCCTATTTCTAAAATTGCAAGTTTATGCAGGGTAGATCTGTCTCCCACAGATGTGCAGCACTGTTGGTATGTTTTTGGTGGAAAGTCCGTTCTAGTCAAATTTAATTCGGTGCGTACAAGAGATGTTATTATGGCGTATTATTCAGGGTTTGCTTTTATTACATTAAATAATGTAGTTAATACTGATGTCAGCTCCCGCATTTATCTTAATGACCACTTCACGCCTCTTGCTTCCAAATTGATGACTATAAAACTGTTCCATAAAATAAGGCATTTCAGGTTCTTGGAGTGAAGATGCTAAATACGAATAGATCGTATACGGATAGGGTCTACATGATTTTGAATATTTTAAATGACCACTTAATGTAATTTTTTTCTTGTTCTAAAACTAAAACTGTCTTTCTTTTTCTCCCCCTCTAGCATTTTGGTGAGATAACCAAACATGACATGGATTTGGAAAAGCCACAATTGATATTATCGTATGCCACTCGCATCAATGCCGAACAAGCCATTGTGCGTGGCAAACTGTTCAAGGACACTCGTCTACAAATTGCCTGGGCTCCCGTTGTAAACACTCCTGCTATAGCTCCAACTGCGGGCAATAAGACAGCAGTCGCAACACCCAATGCTGCTGACAACAAGTCCACCGGCAGCGAAGCCAACAAAAATCAGCCCCAAGAGGCAACCACCGCAATTTCTTCACCAAATCCCAGCCAAACCAACAGTGAAACAGATGCGAACAACACTGACACATTACCCGAGCTACGACTCGAAGATGAGGAGGAGGACGAGGAATCCGAAGATCGCTCATGGCGTCGTTGATTTTCAGTAACAAAAACTCCAGCAACAAACAGCAGCCATACCAACCGTAATCAGAGTCTGAGATGTAGAGTCTAGAATCCTAAAAGAAAAAACAAAAACATTAACTTAGATATAGAGAGGATTAATTATTCTTTTAGAATTACGGATGTTGCCCTAATCATCATCCGCTGTGGAAGATAGTCGTTGCGCAAATCGGTGCATCATTAATTTAGTGGCATAAGGTAGAATGTGGAAAGAGGAAGAAGAAAATTTGTTGTTATTAAATAGCACATAACTTTTGTAGTCGAATAAGATAATTTTTGTATACTAGAAGATGATGGCAAAGAAGAAGAAGGAGAAGATGTTGAAGATAATGAAAAGGAATGTGAATTATCCTAATTTTATTCTAAGCTAAAAAAAGGGGCTTTCTCTTCAGAATTAAGACAACACAAACAAAAAAAGGAAAATTATAAAAAAAACACAACACAAAAACCAAATCTAAATCAACAACATACGATTTGGTATTTTGTCGTTTAATTATTGTTTCCAATTTTTACAAAAACCCAAACAAAAATTATTTTTGAATATCTTTGTAATTGCATCATTTAAAATGATAACCAATCACCCCACATCTAATGGTTTTATTGTAAACTAATATTTCCTTCTCTTCATATATATGAATGCTAGGCTTAAATGTTTTTACTTTTGTTTTATTATTTGAATATCTATATTTATCTACTTCTCTATACACACCCACATACAATCTAATTTGTATTCTCCTCTATATTCTTCATCATGGCTTTCTTCATTTTTTTCAATATTTCTTCTTCTTTTATAATTTTTTTTTAAACAAGTTGTTTAGTTAACCGTTTTTATGTTGAATTATTTTAAACCATTTTTATATTAATTGAATATAATAATTATATATAGAATATACTACACCTACATTATTACTAATAATAAAACAAACAAAAAACAGACTTATTATAAAAATAATAAAACAAAAAAACATGAAGTGATTTTTTCAAAAAAAGAAAATTCAAACAAAAAAAGAGTAAAAACAATGAAAAAAATCAAGAAAAATTATTCTACCAAAAGCAACAAACCAACCAACAAACAAAAGAGAAATCTATATATAAATGAAGAACAAAATTAAAAAAAAGAAAAAATATCACTAATATTTGCGGAGAATAAGAAAAATAAATGAAACTATATAGAATATTATTTGCTATTAAATTTCTCATAAAAATCCAGTTGTTTTACTTTGATGTGGGAGGGGAGGGTGTTGAGGGGTGGGAAAGGGTGAAATGAAAATACATTTCTCGATTGCATTTGAAAAAAACATTTAAAAGAAATGTTGGAAATCCTCGCCTTGAAAAAATATTTTTAAAAAATTTACATCTTTTTATAAAATTAAATACTAGATTAAATATTTTTAAAAAAATCAATACTTAAAAATTATCCACACATTGTAAAAATATTATTTTAAAAATCTTACTGCGTGGATTTTATTTTTAACATTTTTTCTAATCCACGCATTGAATAATTATTTTTTAAAATATCCACGCATTGAAAAATTATTTTTTTAAATATCCACGCATTGAAAAATTATTTTTTGAAAAAAATCCACGCTTTGAAAAATTATGTTTTTTAACAAAGCATAGAAACGCCTTCAAAAATATTTTTAAAATAATCCACGTCTTGAAATATTTTTTTTGAAAATTCACGCCTTGTTTTGTTTCTAAATCCATATATTTAAAATGTTTTTTTTAATCCAGGCCTTGATGTTTTTTAAATCCATATATTTAAAATGTTTTTTTTTTAATCCAAGCCTTAAAATTCGTTTAAATATTTTTTTTAATCCACGTCTTGATAACCAAGACTTAAAAAATATATATATATTTTTTTTTAAATCCACGCTTTGAAAAAATATTTTTTTAAAAATCCACGCCTTGAAAAAATATTTTTTAAAAATCCACGCCTTGAAAAAATATTTTTTAAAAATCCACGCCTTGAAAACATATTTTTTTCAAAATCCAAGCCTTGAAAACATATTTTTTAAAAATCCACGCTTTGAAAAATATTTTTTTTTAAATCCACGCCTTGAAAAAATTTTTTTTAAAAATCCACGCATTGAAAAAATATATATTTTTTTTAAATCCACGCCTTGAAAAAATATTTTTTTAACAATCCACGCCTTGAAAAAAATGTTTTAAAAAATCCACGCCTGGAAAAAAATTTTAACAATCCACGCCTTGAAAAAAATACATTTTTTTAAATCCACGCCTTGAAAAAATATATATATTTTTAAATCCACGCCTTGAAAAAATATTTTTTTAAATCCACGCCTTGAAAAATTTTTTTTTTAAAAATCCGTGACCTGAAAAAACATTTTTTTAAAAATCCGTGACCTGAACAAACATTTTTTTAAAAATCCACGTCTTGAAAAAATATTTTTTAAATCCACGCCTTGAGATATTTTTTTTTTAAATCCACGTCTTTAAAAAAATGTTTTTAAGAAATCCACGTCTTTAAAAAATTGATTTTAAAAAATCAACGCATTGAAAAAATATTGTTTCAAAATCCACACTTTGAATTTTTTTTTATTATTTTAAAATTTTTATTAATTTTTTTTTTTTTTAATTTTTTTGTAACGTAAACATTTTGTTGCAGTTAACTTTATTGGTCTCGAAATGTATGCATGCATACATATTAAACATTTGTACTCAATAGATTATAAAAAATATATGTATGTTCGTGTATTTAAAACATTGCCCGTTATTGATTGATTTAAAACTTAAAAATCGCACCTAAGAAAAATTAAAACATAACTACTAATCGATGTGTGTGTGTTGGGTCAGTCATCTGAATCAGAACTTTCTGCTTTAATTTGGAGGGATGTCTTAGCTGGTGTCGCTGCTATACTTTCATCTTCACTTTTCACCTTTTCTTTTTTAATCTTTTTCGGTGTTAATACAGTTGTTTCCTCGGAATTGGAATCCACCGTAGAGGAATTCAAAGAACTTGAGATTTTACGTTTCTTTGAAGATTTTTTGGCAGGCGTTTCCTCACTATTTTCATTAGTTGTTCCATTTTCTTTTGGAGTTTTCTTGGATTTCTTTGAAGATTTCTTGGTGGCGGCAGTTATGCTCTGTTCCATAACTTCAGGTTCTTCGGCTTTGATTATCGATATCAGTTCATCCAGTTCTTGTATGCCGCCTTCCTTTTCTTCTATACCAGAATCGCCATTATCATTTTCGTTATCTTTAAAAACGATTTTTTTCTGAAAATAAAAAACAGTTTTATTTTGTTTAATATTCGGAATTTTGGAATATTTACCCCTTTGTGGCTAATAGCTTCTCCATTGGCCATCAGCAATTCTCCATCAATGTATGGAAATACATTTTGTAAATTATATTTATTAATGCGAAATTTAACTTCTTGATCCATTTGTATTTCCTCCTTGTTCACTTTGTGGCCCACTCTCAGATTGGCATTAAAAACTCGATACAGCACCACACCAACATGTTGGGCAGCAATGTGTTTCACAACTCCCGTCAGCACTGCGCCCTCGGTGGGTTTGAAAACATATACATCAGCATTGATGTTTACATGTATCCGGGGATCATCAGCCCGTAGGGCACCAGTATTACCCAACACCTTAACTTTCTTCACATCCAACACAATACCATCCAATTGTACATCATAGCTGCCCACCTTGTTACGGACAATATGTGCCATAAGTACATGCTTAAAGTCAGCTAAACAAAACGGACCCATGGACAAGTGTAAATTGGTATTTATTTTGTGGACACACGATCCTTCTGTTTGGACATATTCATCCAATTCTTTAATGGTATATTTAACATATTCCTGTAGTCTTTTGGCCATTATTTCTGGGTGGTTTCTTTCACTAGCATGCAATTGAAATGATGTGGATGTCAAATTTCAAGAAATCACCACAATTCCAACAGAAAATCACTCACAACAAGGCATGCATGTGGATATTGTTAGGGCATTATAGATCGATAAATGGAGTATGGTAGGTTACATTAGATTGTAAATGGCAACCATATTAGGGATTTAGAAATTTAGACTTTAATTTTTATATTAGGCAGGAAAAATGTTAAATTTTTAAAAATGTTTTCAATTTCTGTAAATTAAAAAAATACTAGAAGCAGTAAATAGCTAAAGTTATTTACTACATTACATTTTGTTCCCGTACTGCAAGAATTGACAAATAATAACTATTTATTTTCCATATCATAAAGTAATAATTGTTATCGCGATAAAAAATTAACATTCTTGCAGATTCTGTAATTATTGGTCTGTTCCTGTACTGCAAGAATTTACGAGTTTTTACTATTTTTTTTTTTCGATATAACAAAGGAAAAAAGTATTATCGTAGTAAAAAATAGTAGATTCTTGCAGTACGGGAACAGACCATATATGGAGACAAAATTGTACAAAACTGGAAATAGCACATCAAATAAAGTTAAAATTAATAATTTGAGTATTACTACCATGATACAATTATACAAGGTAGATTATCTTTTATCAACAATGAAAAAATACATCTCTACGATGTGGGCTATAATGTCAGAATAAATAAAAACAAATGCAACAAGTCGCTGTGTTCATTTGATATATTTTTAAAATTTTGCCAAAAACACAAAAAATTAATAGAATGTTAAGGTTTCTTTTTAAAATCAAGTTGGGAATAATATTGATTGTTGTATGTCCTGGTTATTGAATTTAAAAATATGGCTGACAACTCTATTAAAATTAAAGAAGTACAATTAAAGGAGTTTATGGCACAATAAATAGGTTTTTGTTTTGAATTCGACGTGGAAAAATATGTAATCAGAAATCAAATTGGATAATAAATAACAAAGGTTTTTGTTTCGATACATCGCCTTATTATTGCATCATGGTGCATAGTTTCTACTTGAATTCGACGTGCAATGTTGCCAACCATGGGAAATATTACTAGATGAAATTTGACAGATGTTGGAATATAAACAAATGTTTTTGTTTTGATACATCCCCTCATTATTACATCGTGAGTATATTCTTGTATTCGGAGTCATGACTTTTTAATAAGATCGCCCAAAAAGCGAAAAACAGATGTTTTTTGTCAAGTTAATATCATAAATTTGAAATGGCCTTATTAATAGGCCATGATCCAATAATAAGGTCGTCCGATAATGCCAGATGATTTCATCCGAGCTGTCAAAATGCTTTCAATTTTGACTCAATTGTGTGAAAAATTAAACAAAAAAAAAAAAAAAATTGACAACTTGGGGTAATTTAATCCAAAATTGTCTAACGATTGCTTCTGACACGACCTGTTTATTGGATCATGTTAACAGGCCAACGTTGTATATAGCTGTGTTCACACCAGCACTTTTAACTGGCACCTTTTTTTTATAGATTACTGACTGTTCAACAACTGTGAATATCACTATCAAACAAGCTCTATCAAACAAGCAAAATTTGGGCAAGAGTGCCATTCAAAATGCAGCTAATGACTACGAAAATAACTTGATTTTTATGTTATGTATACGTCTGTTATACATCAGACTTGATTTATAGAAACAATTATTTATTAGTGGTGAAAGTATGACATTCCTGAAATCCATCCATAGCAAAGTAATTACTTTTAGACGAAAGCGATAAAAAAATCATTTTCATTTCAATTAAATTTGAATATATTTTAATTTAATTAATATACAAAAGATTTATTTTTTGATAATTGAAACAGGCTAATTTGAGAATAAATATTGCATCTGGTAGTAGCTATTCCCTATACTTTGTAATAATTATACCATAATGTGTACTCTGCTTTAGTTTGTGCCAAAAAAAAAGCTTTGCGTTATGATTGTTGCCATACGTGCTTACTTATGGTTAAAAATGTTCCATCACTGTTTGGTTGGCAACACTGTTTAGACCCCAATATAAACAAAAATACCGTGTTATTATATTTTTGCAAATATTTTACGTTAGAATTCACCGAAATTCCAGCAAGCACAATGAGTAAATCCACTAAATCTTCCAAAACCCAACAATTGAGGTAATGTACTACCGAATGTAACCATTAAATAATGACATCTCATTTTTTTTCCTACAGCAAAGAACAATTGATCGAGGCGATACGCAAGAAAAAGGAATGTAATGCTCGGGCCCAGGCCATTGTGGAGTCACTGTTGGAGCGCAACATCAATGAAGATGAATTTCTTAGAAAGGTGGGCACCAGTAAGTTGCTGCTATAGCTGCAATTATTTTACAATAAATTTGCTTTTTTTGTCTAAGGATAGCTGAAGGATATAAATCAATGTCATTATGATGATATTGTGGATGAGAGAAATATTCTGCACTTATGTTCATATCCATTGTGTGATGAAGTTTTGGAAAAGTAAGTATTGAAATTATGAGATGCTAAGATCGAAAAGTGTTTGGATGAATTTGGACTTAGTTATGGGTTAGGAATTTCAGGGAAAATATGTAATATCACATGCGGGACATTGTGGGGTATACATTATGACTGTAGAGGTTAAACTTTATTAATATGTATCTAATTTCCAGATAAATTCAATATATTTCAAGAATATTTTTGTGTAAGCGGGTCGTCATGTTAGCATGTTTACCAGTGTGTCGCGCTGTTTAAGCAAATTGGGTATATCGAATGGAGGGACGCATTTTTTTTAAAGCATGTTTTTACGAATGGCGTTCACGATAACTCAAAAACTAATAATCCAATCGGTTCCAAATTTTGACACGTTTCTCTGGGAGTGTATAGCTCTCGTATGAACTAGGATAAAGCCAATTGTTAAAGATCTTCCTTATTTTTAACTTAGTTTGTGGTCAAAAATAGGCGATTGTCAAAAAAAAAAAAAATTGTTATGTATTGTGCGAAGTCAATAATCCTAGTTCATAAAAAATCACAAAAAACAACAACAAATTTTTGCACTTCGGTGCTGGTGGGCATATTTCCGCCTGTGGCACAGCCATTGTGAGGTAGGGCAATAGGCAGGAACTCAGGGGAGTCTTTTAGACGAGCTGAAAGGAGTCTTTATAGACGAGCTAAAGGAAGTCCTTATATATGAGTTGAAGGGAGTCTTAATAGACGAGCTGAAAGCAGTCTTTACAGACGAGTTGAAGGGAGACTTTTTAGACGAGCTGAAGGGTGTATTTATAGACTACAGAATTTTTTATATTAGCAGAAGGGTGTCTTTTAGACCAGTCGAAAGGAATCTTCATATTTTCCTATAAGTCCTATAAGGGTGGATTTTTTAAAGGAGTTTTGGAGTATTTTGATAGTTTCAGCGCATTTTCCAATAGATGTCGCTGTAATTTGACATTGGCAGAAGACCTCTGCAAACTTTTTTTATTCGCCCATGTTTTGGGATAGCAGCTTTGGGTAGCCGGAGGATAAACTATCTTCTTACACAAAATGTTCAATATAGGTCCATGTCCTTTTTTTATTTCCTTTGATATATTTTCCTAACATATTTGTTGATTTTCTTTTCTGGTTTTCCCTTCCAGCGTTCCCACAAAACAATATCAAATCTCCACGGCAACCAATAAAGTTTATGACATTACGGATCGTAAGAAATTCTGCAGCACCAAATGTTTCAAGGCTTCGGAATATGTTAAATCACAAATGTTAACAAGTCCACTGTGGATGAGACATCAGGAGATAATACCGGAATTTAAATTACTAAAATTAGATGATTGATATACATGCAATTTCTTTTCATTTTTAGGCATTTTATTTATGATTATTATTATATATAGTTAATTTTATAATTCAAATTCGAAAATCAAATAAAATGATTATTTTTTATATATATGTAACTATTATTAAAACATAATATGGATATTTTTTTTTGAAAACGTAATAATGGCATTGCAGATTATACACAAATTCAAGCATGTATGATGATGAGTTTCGGGTGATTTATAGAGAGGAGGAACAGGGGGAGATTATTTGTGGTTAAGAAGGATAATAAGTCCTTTCTTTGTTTTCTTTCATTCTTTATATCATTACAATATTATCCCTTTCTAAGGCATAATCTGCTTCTCGTTTGGTATCTTCATCTGTCCACTCATCTCCAGATTTCCGTTCACTTGCTGCCATGGCATCTTCATCCTTCCATTCACCACACTTGGCCAGCACATCATCTTCAGGTTTCTCATCCTGCTGGGAATAAAAATATGGAACAAATGGCAGGATGTAAATTTGTGACAATAAAAAAATAACTACACACACAAACTATTTTTAAATAAAATAAACCCTGCAGCGAGCAGCTTTAGTAAAATTGTAGTGTTTTACTGGTGACATTGTCGCTAGTACTAGTGAAAAAGTATACCACAACCAATGTAATTTCCTATGGACATTTAACATAGGCTTGTCATAGGAGAAGTACCAGTAGACCTTGACTATATTGACTAAGTAGTTCTTTTGGGACTATATGGTGACATTTGAACCAAATAGTCACTAGAAAAAGATTATATCTTTTGAGATTATGTGATGACGTGTATACCAAATAATCACTACATTATATTGGGTTTCCTGAGCTATATGTAGACATTTGAACCAAATAATCACTAGAAAAAGATTAGATCTTTTAAGTTTATATGGTGACGTTTGAACCAAATAATCACTGCATTTTATTGGGTATCCTGAGCTATATGTAGACATTTGAACCAAATAATCACTAGAAAAAGATTAGATCTTTTAAGTTTATATGGTGACGTTTGAACCAAATAATCACTGCATTTTATTGGGTATCCTGAGCTATATGTAGACATTTGAACCAAATAAACACTAGAAGACCATTAGTCCTTTCGAGATCATATGGAGGCATTCGAACCAAATAGTCATTTGAGATTTTTAGGAAAATGCTTGTAATAGAATAAGTATTTAACAACGTTACATTTTTAACGCAGTTATTAAGTAACAAAAACAAAAGTAAAGCACAGTTCAATCTACACACAATATATTTAATTAATCTAAAACAGTCTGCGAATTTTAGGCAAGGTAATAAATTAAGAAATGGATTACATATATAGCTCACTTTTTTCAAGGCTGGCCAAACCTTGTCTTATTTTTAATAAAACTGAATAGTGTTAGAACTAGGATTTTAAAATTATATAGTATAACATAAAAACATTCAGTTAAATTTGTGGTTCTTCATCATTTTCATCTTGTTCCTTTTCTTCGGTGCGCCTGCTTCGTTTGTTGATCTTAAAATACTTTTTCTTTTGGCGTTGGAACGCTGCTCGTAAAGTCTTGTCAGGTAATTTATTAAATGTTGATATAACTTCTGTTTTATAAACTATATTTTAGCATTACTTATTTGAAACAAAAACAAACACGTTTTACCTATTATGGCGGCAAGTACATTACCAAAATCTCGTAGACCTTTTTTCCCGAAAGTTCCGTCAACATTAAAATCCATAATAATATTTCTTCCAAATACTTTATGCAAATTACGTTCAGCGTTACCTGCAATGAGATTTTTCATTTGTCGAGTCTGCAATTGTAAAAATTGTTTTAGTTATGAATTTGTTATTCCCAAAACGCAGATACGTACATATAGATCTGCTTGTGTTGCGAGAATTCGATCAAATTCTCGAAGTTTTTCTTCCGATTCAATTGGAAAAATTGTCATAATATTGTCCACAAATGCGTTCTGAGAAATAACACGATCCAGTAAAACTTTATGCTCCGCCAAAATATCAATAATCGTGTCTAGTTTTCTGGCATTTTCTTGGCAGGAAGAACATTTTGCATTAGCTATCAAAAATATGAACTCAATTTTGTTATACTGTTAAAAATTTAGTGATAATCTTTGGAGATTACCTTGTGGAGCAAAATATTTCATTTTTCCTTTGGAAGGGTTGGCATTTTCGTTCGACATGTTTATGTGCGGGAGTTGTGTACTTAGGAGGTAAAAATTTGTGCTTGATATTTCTCTGGAAAGCAGGAATGTAAAATGGGCACGATTACAAAATCAGAATCAATTGGCAAGCATACAAATTTGAACTGAATGTCTTTAATACAAAATGTCTCTTTTTCCCCTAGAGTCAGATTCGTTTTGAAAATACCAATCTCACAAGAATTCACCGGTTCTTCGTAGAAACTTTCTAATGCCAAAATTCGACTGCCTTCAATATATATTTCGCCCTTTTTCTTTATATTATCAATTTTTATTGGAATGCATGAATTCACCGCGCAAATATTATCTGGTTCTTTGCAGGATATGTAGCAATCATTTACAAAAGCTCCAACGATAACACCTTTTTCATATTTTAACCCATCCTGAATAGTGTTGACAATCATGCAATTTTTTTCCTTTTGAATAATTTGTTGAAAGATATGTGATGGTTTTCGAACATGTTTTTTCAGTGTTTGCAGTTTATTTTCAAATGCATATGCAGAAAACGAAATAAGGGGACCATACTTTTCTGCGCAAGAAGCCAAATGAAGCAGATTATGAACGTTAAAAGAAATGCTGTTCGAACCAAATACAGTTGAGAAGTTCTCGACAAATAATTGAAGCAAATTATTAGCTTGAACAATATTTTGATCCATATGTCGTGCATTGTTAAGAAGTCGATAAGCACAATGTAAAGTTAAAAATTCATAATAAATATCTTCGTGTACATTATTATAAAGAGCAATAATTCCTGTATAAGCAAGGAACTGGTGAAATTCAGTCGCTTTCCAATGACAAAGATCATCTAAAGGCCTGGGTTTTCTTGGGAATTCCCTTGGAATGTATTTTTTAAATTTCACCAATTCAGAAGATATTTTTGAAATATTTTGTTTTGAGGTTTTCTTTTCAGTTTTATTATGCATTATTCTGGTTAGCATTTTTTTGGTGACTCCGAGGTCAATGAGATGCATGCTATCTAAAGGAGTCTGATTTATCATACCAAATCCAATTTCTTCGAGAGGAGTTTTTTCTTCTTTGAACATTTGGGAATGGTGGCATGGATACTTTCGCACAGCAAAGTCCTCATCGGAGATTAGGGAACCACTCTCGCTACTATAAGTCAAGACATTGTTTACCTTCTTCGCAATTTGAGTACACTTGGTGCAGCCATGTGTTGATGTATGTCCAGGAACTCCACAAACGAAAGCTTTTGCTGGTGCGTCACATATTAAGCAACGAAACTTCAATTTTAAATGTTTTTGTTGTATGATAAACTGACCTTTTAGTAGAATCACTTCATCAATGAAGTCTTTCAAATACACATTCACACTACCCGGCTTGGTGTTTCCCAAGTATAATCCAACAACAAACGGTTTTGTTTTCTCCTGAATATTAACGATTCTGCAAAGGATTGGCCACAATTGCACACGAGAGCTTTTGAACAGTGGAATTCCATCGATATTTATATCTAGTTCGACTTCCTCATACTTTTCCAAAATGTGACCAACTTTTCGTAGTTGTGTTTCTATGCCAATATGACAATAAATTCCAGGGGCAACATTTCTCGTTAACATATTTTTTGCTCTGCCCACCAAAGTCTCTCTAGTGAGCGGAACATCTAGACCTTCTTCCTTTAATATTGATAAAAGACTTTCCAAACATTTCTTTGAAGGATTCGTTTCCATGCACCACTTTTTAAGTTTGTCCCGCAACATTAATTTCGGAACTGCAAAATCTTCCATTCCATTTTCCACGAAATCATTTATAAAATCTCCACCGTTTGACACAAATTCACTTTCACTATTTTCTTGTTCACATTGCAAACTTCTGTTTTTATACAATATTTTTTGTTTTTTAATTAATCTTTTATAATTTCTTTTACTCATTTTGTTTATATATTTAATAAATAATCACCTTTTTAACAATAAAACACACAAAACAAATTAATTGCCGATAAAAACGCGTTGTTTCGATGCGATCTACAAAAAAATTACATAAAAATGTGTATATATTCAATATGTTTTAATGACAATAAAAGAAAAGCCAACTGTCGACATTGTCAGTAGAAATACACTACAATCAGTGTCCCAAACCAAACTCTACTCGTAAATTGTTGAAATTTGAACTAGTACAATTGTCTGTAGAAATAAAGTGGTAATATAAGATACACATGGATCTTTGCTCGCAGCAGGGAATTTATTTTTTACTATCACTACAAATACAATATAAGAAAAAAAAATAAATACAAAGTTAAATTACATTACAAAAATAAATGTAATAGATTTTGTGATAGGAAATTATATTAAATTACTGGAGTTTTAGTATTTTTCCTCTAATGGAAATTATTGTGTGATTTTTTTTATACCTCTTTATCAGCAGCGGCCAGTTTTGTGAACATATTGGCGTAGATTCTCTTCTCCTTATCCTTGGCCTCTTTGATTTTGTGTTTGCATATTTGTATTTGATTTTGAGCAGCCTTATTGGTGGGTTCCAGTTCGAGAACTTTCTGGAAGTCAATCAAAGCTTCATCGTAATCGGCAACGGTTACGTTACATTGGCCACGACGATAGAGAGCCTTAATGTTGTTGGGTTCCAATTTGAGGGTTTCATTGCACTGTAATTGAAATAAAAAAGAAGAAAGAATGAAACTCAACACACGTTATTCTAGTCTAAATTCAGTATGCCGGGCAAAATTTGATGTCAATCGGAAAAATATTGGGGGTTTAGTGCAACATTTTCATGAAATCGGGTGAAAATATATATAGGGGCTGTATCAAAATCTGAACCGACTTAAACGATACTCAGGATAAGTTATTCTAGACTCAATTCAGGAGGCTGTGCAAAATTTCATGTCAATCGAAAAAACTTTGGCTCTTTGGTGCACCATTTACGCGAAATCCGACGAAAATATATATGGAAGCTTTATCAAAATCTGATCCGATTTGAACGAAACTCATTTCAAGTTATTCTAGACACAATGCATTATGCTATGCAAAAGTTCATGTCAATCGGACAAACTTTGTGTATTTGGCGGACCATTTACCTGAAATCCGACAAAATTATGTATGGGAGCTATATCAAAATATAAACCGATTTAAACGAAACTCAACACATTGTATTCCAGACGCATTTCAATACCCTCTGCAAAATTTCATGGCAATCGGACACCCTTATGTTGTACATATACCAACACTTCTTCTACTACTTACTGCCTGTTTAGCCTCAAAATGTTCATTTAATTTTTGATGACACAGAGCCTGATTGCTATAAGCTGTGGCCTTTAGTTTGTTGCTTTCGTCATCAGCTAAAAATAAAAATAGATAAAAAAAACAATTTCAATATTAAATTATAAAAATTAAAACATTCTATACTTACAATTATTCTCCAAAAAGTCCACACACTTTTTGTACATTTTCAATGCCAGCGAATAGTTTTCCTTTTTAAAATATTTTGTACCCTTTTCTTTGTAGATTTTCGAATGTTCAAGACGTTCGGCATCCGAGAATTTCCAATCTTCAATACCTTTTTCGCAATCATTTAATTTGATAATATATTCGACAGTGGCATTTGCTGGTATATTAAATTGTTCATTGCCCTTGGTGCCAAATGCATATTTGGGCTTAATTTTGAATCTATTAAAAAAGGAGGGAAAATAAACATTTTAATTTTATTCTGAAAAAAGCGGTTTGATATTCAAATATTTACCTTGACTCTTCGCCAATGACCATTTTTCCAATGGCAATTTCAACACCTTCAATTAAACCGATATCGCTACCTTCGCCCAAATTAAATTCAACATCACGTTCTTCAAATACTTTGCCATCATATTTGCCGGTGATGTGAGCTGGGGTATGAAAAATAAATAAAACAAAAAATATAAAAATAATTGTTTAATGGTATAAAAGTCAAATATACAAAAAATAATATTAATAAATATTCTAAATATCTAAAAAAATTAAAATTCTCTAAAGTTAATAAAAATTTTTTTCACACTAAAAGAAAACAAAATTTTTTAAAATAAAAAATAAATTCAATTTTTTAAAATTGTTATTTAAATTTTAATTCATAGCAGTTTTGTTAAATCCATTGCACCCCAAAAACCAACATATTATCGACAACAAAACCCCATTCAACTATATAACAAAAGCACACACACACCACCACCACTACTTAAAAACAACAACAACTACCACACACACTTCCAGAAAATTCGATTATTCTAACATCACACCGCACATATCCATATCAAACTCAAACATTGCATTTTGGGGGCATAAATTAGATTTTCATTGACCACAAACAAACTGATATGAATATTCAAATTTAATGGTTTTGCGATATCCAAACCAAAAACTTCTTAAAATTAAAAAAAGAAACCCTTACCTTTGCACAGGGAACCATCATTGGGACCACGCCGCTTATCACTGCTTGTAATGATGAAACGTTCAATGCTACCATCTTTATTAGGACTAACATCGGCACCCTTCCAGCCCAGCATTTCCAACTAATTAGGGGAAGAAAAATCAGAAATCTTAAATGAAAACATCCATAAATGGCAAAGAGTAACACCTTTCAATATACCTCAAAAATCAATGTGGCATTGGGTGGTATACTTGGTGGACTACCACTTTCGCCATAGGCATATTCGGGAGCACAAATTAAATTACATTTTTCACCCAATTTCATAGTCAGAACACCCAAATCAAAGGCTTTGATGACACTTCCTGGAAACCACAACAAACACACACACATTAATTGGATTAGCATAGAATCGAAAAATCTATTCAATAATAGAAAATGTATAATTATTCCACTTACTTGCACCCAATTCAAACTCAAAAGGTTCTCCACGATCAACGCTAGAATCGAATACAGTTCCATCGGTTAGCCGGCCTGTATAATGCAATGAGACTTTGCAACCATTTTCGGGTGTCTCATCGCCGGTACCATGTTTAAGGATTTCTTTTTGTACACCACCATCTTCAGTGATGGTAATTTTTTCCAATACTTCTCCAGCAGTCATTTTTGTGTTCTTTCTTTATTTTCTGTTTAGTTTTTATTTTGTAGATTTGCAAATTTTCTCCTTAATTTGGTTGGATGTGCAATTTATAAAGTACTCACGAAGAATGAAAGGCAATCCAATCCCGCAGTGTGTTGAATTACTAGAAAAATCGATGAAGATATGTTATCGATTTTTAGCTGTCAAATTATCGATTGTAGTCACACGGCGATTGTAAAGAAATCAAAAAGGAGACCCTTCCATGGTAACGGATGACATAATGGACTGGCAAATTTGATGTGTTTATAGAGAAAATAATTTGCATTACGTTTCCTTTGTATCTATGTCAAATACAGAAAATATTGTGAATGTAAATAATGGTACATTTACGTTGTAATAGATTAAATAAATCCTGTGGATTTAAATTGTCTATTTCATTGCAAAAAAGCTTCACAGGAATGGTTGTAGTGCGTTTAGATTTACGAAATCCACTCGATTTAAAATGTCAGTTCGATAGCGTATAGGTCAAGTATATTACACAGGATTTTAAACAGGATTAACGTGACCTAAACGTTATGCAATTTTTGATTGATATCGAGTAAATTTAGGTTATATCTAGGTTTATTTATAACCAAAATAACCTAGTGCTACTGATGTGAAAAAAGAAGCGTATACGGAAACACTGCAGACAATAGCAACACGTAATGTGAGGGAGAATTATCGGGAGAAAAGAAAAGAGAAATTTATTTTCAGAAAAAAGAACAAGAAAAATGTGAGCGGGAGCCGAACGAAGTCCAGAAATTTTATCAACTAAACCGAAGGCTTTGGTAGAGGCACATCCTCCTGTAGGAATCCTGTACAGCGTGTTGAGGATCTGAAAGGAGCATTTTGTAATGCTTCTGGTATCAAATAGTGGCGGTGAAGAAGATACCCCAGAACCAATAATAGATGATGGTATAAAGTGTATACCACCTATCCAAGATGAGGTCAGAATAGCAATTAATCAGCTGAAGAATAATAAAGCAGCAGGTGCCGATGGGTTACCAGCCGAACTATTCAAGACTGGTGGTCAGATGCTGGTCAGGAGCTTGCGTCAGCTGATTTGTACAATTTGGCTAGAGGAATTCATGCCCTATAATTTGAACCTCCTGTGTCACGTGCACAACAAAGGAGACAATACGATATGTGCCAACTATAGAGGAATAAATTTCCTTCCCATCGTAATAAATTGCTATCCTGCGGGCTGTGTGAACGACTGAAGCCAATGGTCAATGAATGATTATTGGACCATACCAATGCGACTTCAGACCTGGAAAATCCACCATTGACCAGATCTTCATGCTGCGCCAAATCCTGGAAAACCCCACGATAAACATATCAACAAATGACACCTATTCGTCGACTATAATGCCGTATTTGACAGCCCTATCCGTTCAGATGCGTATAAAGCGATGTCTACGTTCGGCATTCCTGCAAAATTAATACGGCTATGTAGGATAACTTTAACTGGTACAATGTCAGCAGTTAAAGTAGGAAAGGACCTATCAAAGCCCTTCAATACCGAACGAGGGTTCAGACAAGGTGACAGTTTGTCGTGTGACCTTTTTAACATCCTCCTGGAAAAGGTCATACGAGAGGCAAGGTGAACAGAAATGGCACTCTGTACACCAAACAGCAAATTTTACTCGCCTACCCCGATGACATCGACATAATGGGTCGAACATTGCGAGCAGTAACAGCCACCTTTGAACGAATTGAGAAGGAGTCTGCCAAAGTGGGACTGACAGTAAATGGCGAAAAGACCAAGCTGACGGTATCAACGCGCAAGACGTCCAGTAGACTCGGACCAACTGTGGAACTTGAAAACTATATCTTCGAGGTAGTGAACGATTTTATATACTTCGGTGCCGCCATAACAAACGAATGACATCAATTTTGAAATTCAGAGAAGGGTTGTGATGACCAACAGATACAAGTCCACCTCTCGCCAGACCAAACGGAGGATTCATTATTCAGTCACCAAAGACTATTATTGAAAATTTTAGACCTTCAGAAATCGATGCTTCAGACTACAAAGTCAATTTATTCAAGGTCAATTATTACAAGGTAGGGCATATCGACCCTTCGATTACAATTTTGGCTTAAGGCGACTTGTTCTATCAAATAAAAATACATATTTAGAGTACGTGTGTGTATAGTTTTGAATACCATGAAAAATAAATTCAAATTACCTTGAATTATATTTAAATTTAAGTGAAATAAAAAGGATTTTATTTTTGACAGAAGAAGTCATTACCTACTAATGAAAAATATATAACAATAAATATAAAATATATGTAGACACTCTTTGAAATAACTGCTGCTAATATTACCGGATTTTTTAAATTCAATTCCATTCAACAAATCCTCATCGAGGATGTTATTTCGGTAAAAATTTCTAATCTAAATGTCGTTTAATAATGATTAAATTACATTGAATGTAAACCTTAAATTACATTGAATGTAAACATATTTTATTTATTCGTCATATTCATATTTGGTCTGTTCCCGTACTGAAAGAATCTACTACTTTTTACTACGGTAACGAATATTCCTTTATGTTATCGAAGAAAATAGTAAAATCTAGTAGATTCGTGCAGTACGAGAACAGACCAATTGCGAGCTGATGTAAATATAACAACATAACCTATTTCGGTCATTTACAACCTACCTTGTATACGTCCTCATTAAAGATTACCCACTTGACATTGAGAAACCTCAATAAAACATAATAATTACGATTACCAATTACTCTTTGAGCTTAGTGGCATAGAACTGGTATTCAGTAGTCTTTTGAATGAGAGATTTTTTCATTCAATAGCACATACAACCGCAGAGAAAAAGACAACGTTTAATTAACAAACTAAAAAAATTGTTAGAAAATTTAATATATTATTAACAAAAGACCGCATACAATATAAGGCAAAATACAAACAAAAACAAACAGAACTGTGCAAAAAACAGGCAACGAGAAAAGTAGTGTGGAAAAAACGCAGTTGAAAAGCAGAAACGTTCACATGCGAAGCGAAGTAAAGGAGAGCGACACACACACACACACACACACAAGGAGAAAGAGAACGAAGAAGCAAGAATAAAGAAGTCAGTGACAGACATTAAAGTAACGAGTGAATGGTGGCGAATGCAACGAGTAGCGAATTTTTGAACATCGTTTTTGTGATTATTTTTTTTTTCAATATTTTTGTTAGTGAGAGAAAAAAGACCTCTTATTTCGAGAAGAAATATTTTTTTGGACGCAACGCGATAAAAAGAACGGATTTAAATGTGCTCCAGATATCAACCTGTTTGCCCTGCGAAGTGTATGTTTACAATTTGATTTGTGCAAAGTGAATTCGGAGAGGTTATTTTACCAGCTACGAAGAAAAGAAAAAACTATAAATTGCATATCCATCCCGTCAAAATCCCGTCGTCGTTGTGCAGATGCAGAACAACACAAGTCCGCAGAATACAACTTGTTAAAGCAAAGAAGAAAGAAAAAAATCAGTTTTTTAATTTTCATTTTGTATTTAGTTTTGATTCGATTATCTGGCCTGCAGCTAAATGTGGAAACGTCGTCACTGACAACGTATCATTGCCGTTCGCCGTTCGTTTGGAGGAAGATTTTTTTTCAACAACAAGGGTCAACTGAGTAGAGACTAAAGGAAAAAAAAAATTATTGAAAAATCTGTTGGAGATTTGCAAAAAGATCTATTGGAGGTGCTCTAGGCGAAATCTAGGCGGAAAACAGCAACAATAAACCCAAAAGATAACACAGTGACCACCGCAACAACAAGAACAACAACTTTAATAAAGACGACAACAACAACAGCAACCAGATCAAAAGACGTAACGCCTCCGCCGTTGTCATTTTGACACCAACGTCGACGGTTGGTGTACGCTGTACATTCGGTACATTTCTTTGCGAATTGCTCGAAACTCGACTGGCCTAAATGCATCAGAGTAATGCGGCTTTGTCCAGACCCAAACAACAATTCCAAGTCCATCAAACTAGCAACAATAATTGCAAAGACAATTAGAGGACAAATTGCAGTGCTAGAAAGTCAACGCGCCGCCATAGGTCTGTTGTGAGGAGGACTGTGAGAAAAGCAAAGCAAAACTAACAAAAAATATATATATTTGCCGAACATCGCTGACGCCACCACGACCATCAACAGCAGCAGTCAAACAAACACATCCAGCCATTCGCAAGAAAAAACGTGGAAATGATTACCAAGAACGATGTGATAATGTGGTTTAGAGCCCTTGAGAGCTATAAGCGCATAGACACTATGTGCACCCTGCTCAATATGTGTTTGCCATTTGAGTTACGCTTCCTGGGCACCTGCCTGGAGGAGTTGGGCCGGAGAGATTCCCAGGAGCTGAGAGGTATGGAGCTAAGGGCCAATAACCCGCAAGATTTGGCAACGGACATGATTGCCTGTCAAAAGGGCGAGCCAACCGATATGAAGGTACGTCGTAAAATGGCCCTGTATTTGGCTCTAATACGAGCCTGTAATCGTACCAATGTCACCGAAATATTTCGCACCCTTGAGTCATGGGGTGAGCTGGATTTTTCCACAATGACTGATATTGATACACTAAAGGAGCTGCTGTTGGTCTATACCATGGCGGCAAATCATCCGGTATTTGAATTTGAACAACATCTGAAATTTATGAAGATTTTTGAAAAAATCAAAGAAAATAAATTGGTAGCTGATCCACCGCCATCAACATCACCGCCACCACAATCATCATCGTGCAACACCACACAGCAGCAACAGCAGCAGCCGCAGCAGCAGCAACAACCCGCTATCCATCCACAAACAGCCCATCAATCTGCCACAACCATGGACAACCAAACGCTGCCTATGACTCCACAACAACAACAAATGCACCAACATCCTCCTCCACCGTCCCAACAGGAATTGATGCAGCAACATGTTTTACATGCTGCCCTGCATGCAACCGGTCAACATCATCAGCTATTGGCACCGACACCTATGCAAATGCTTGCCCAGGGTACAATACCGCTTAGTTATCCCCAGAGTCATTTGGCCAAGGTAAACTACGTATATGTATGTGAAAAAGAATTGGTAAAAATTTCATAATTATTTTTTGTTGTCTTGTTGTGTTTACATTGTAATATTTTTTGTTGACCTCCGTGATTGTTACAGGATATAGGGGAAGCTGGGACCATAGATCATAGAATATAGTCTAGAGAGGTAGTTTAAGAAAAAAATGGATTAGTAATCCTGTACCATGGAAATCTAGCTCCCTTGTCAAGGACTTCGGAGTGTTTTGGTTGTTTTTTAACATAGATTGTGTAGTGCTTTGGGTATGTACTTCCATTTGGTGGTAAAAGGCGCCTTCAGACACAAATGCGCAGTCGCCTAGATCGGATTAGGCGTTCGGCCCTTTTTGTTTCCATTTGAAATTGGGATGAAGTCATTTCCCTTCAGGCCTAAAATTAACACATACAGTTGATTCTAACATCCCACCCTTCCATCTATACTTCGTTCTTCGATATCTTAATATTTTAATCGTGTTTTTCTTTTTGGATTGAATTCTGAATATCCAGTTTCTGAGGCCCGAAACTTCAGAATTGGAGAACTGAAACTTCAGCTCCTTAGGACAAAGTCCTGAGTCTCTGAGGAATTAATCCTCAAATTCCTTAATATCTCAATATTGAATGAAACCTCAGAGGAGATGAGGCGTATAACTAACCACCTCTGCATCTATGTAGACTGAATATTCAATCCTACAACAGGTTTCTCAACCTCTGCATATTTTAATGATGGTATTTTAGGATTGAATTATAGATCTCCAGTTTCCAAGGACTGAAACTTCAGTATCTTAGGACAGAGTTCTTAAATTCCGAGGAAGTAATCCCCATAATCTGAGGGCTGAATCTTTAATCTGTGAGGAAATCCTCAATATTGACTGAAACCTCAAACTCTCAAGAGGATGAATCATCTGCCATCCATCCATCAATGTACACTTAATCTTAAAAACAGATTTCTCAATCTCTAAATTTGATTGAATTCTGGATCTCCAGTCTCCGATGACTGATGCCTCATAGGACAGAGTCCTTAGTTTCCAAGGAATTATTCCTCATACCCTGAGGATTAAAACTTTAGTCTCTGAAGAATACTCTGATGACTAACTTCTTAGTATCTGAGGCTTGAATTCTGAATCCTTATTCCTTGAGGCTTGACTCCTCAGAACCTGAGGACGAAACACTCATTCTCTGAGTACTTAAACCTCAGACTTTCAGGACAGAATCCTTAGTCTTTTTTTATCTGAGTAATGAATTGTCAGTATCTGAATACTGAACCACCAGTCTAAATTATTTCTCTACACTGAGGACTGAAACCTTAGGCTTTGAATGATTATTCCTCATACTCTGATAAATAAATCTGTAGTATCTGAGGATTGAATTCTGAATCAGTAGTCCCTGAAGCATGACCTGAGGACAGAACACTCATTCTCTGAGTACGGAAACCTCAGACTTTCAGGACAGAATCCTCAGTGAGAGCTGAGTCTTTTTTATCTGAGTAATGAATTGTCAGTATTTGAATGCTGAACCCACAGTCACTAAGGCCTGAATCCTTAGTTCATTTGGGTTGACTATAAAGAATCTAAGGACATCAGAGTTTCATGAAAAAATCTGAATCTCTGAGAATTTAATCCTCAGTTCCAGGGTTTGATTCGGATTTGAGAACTACATATTCAGACTTTCAGGTCAGAATTCTAAGTGAGCGCTGCGTCTTCTATATTTGAGGACACAAGTATTAGGACTCAATTATTAGTATATAGTATATAGTTCATTGGGGCTGACTATGAAGAATCTGAGGACATCAGAGTTTCATGAAAAAATCTGAGACTTTGAGAATTTAATCCTCAGTTCCAGGGTTTGATTCGGATTTGAGAACTACATATTCAGACTTTCAGGTCAGAATTCTAAGTGAGCGCTGCGTCATCTTTATTTGAGGAATCAATTTTTAGTATATGAATACTAAACCCTCAGCCCTTAGTTCATTGTTCCAAATAATATAAGGACTGAATACTGATATTTTCATCGACTCTCAGAACAGTTTCTTAGTATTTAACCCTCAGTATCTGTAGACTGAATTCTCAAGCTTTGAATAATGAAACCTCAGACTCTGATGGCTGCATCCAAAATCGCTGAAGAAGTATTCTTTCGCCTTTCCCTGTAGGTCTAAATCCTCAGTCCATGAGCACTGAATCCTTAGTTCATGGGGACTGAATCTGAGGACATTAGACGTTCAGAAAAGAATACGGAGTCTCTGAGCATTGTATCATCAGCATCAGCTTTGAATTTTGAAACTTCAGGCTCTAATGACAGAATCGTCCTAAGGCTCTGAGGGATGAATTCCCTGCTCACTGGTCAATCAGTCTTCTCCTATTTAAAGAATTAATCATAGAAATAAATTTTAGTCGTTAAAGAATCCGGGACCTCTGGAGACATCAGAGCTGATTTTCCAAGTCAACAATGAGATTTGATTTTTCGCATTCTTCGATGACCTAGAAAAAATTAGTCCGTGAGATATCCGCACACAGATTCCTTCGTTTCTGTGTATAAATTTCCGATACACTACGATTACCCGTCTCTTCGGGTCATTGATTACCTGTTCTTAAGGATTGATTTCACAGTATCTAGATATTGGATCTGCAGCCTATGATTACAGGAACGATATTCTTCGAATAACGTATTTTTAGTCTTTTCTTGAATCTTCAGATTTTAGGGTCACTAAAGGAACTGTTCTTTTGTATGTCTTAGAATTAAATACTTAGTCTCTCAGGTCTAATTCCAAAGCCTCTGTAGATTGACTTCAGAGTCTATGAGGATAGGGACAATATGATATTGCCTCTATGATCTGATTAAGGGTTAACTTATCTTAAATCAGAATTCAGACCCTAGTCCTTTAGAACTGATTCCCGTTCCTGGGTCTCTTAATGCTGACTCCTCAATCTACGTAAACAGATTCTTCAGATAGAAATCCAAAGGATTAAATTCGATCTTCTGCCAACCGTGTTCCTCAGCCCTGAACACAAATTTCTCAGTTCTATATAGAATGTATGGAATATATTTTCATATAGCTTCTATTTTTCTATAGATTTCCACAGTCCCAATTTCTTAGATGAGAAGTATCATTTTAAAATGTTTAATACTCGTCAACAACACGAGGTTGTAGTTTTGATATCTAAAAAACACACAAACATATCAAAATTCAATACTAATTTTAATTTTATTTTTTACAGTTAATACCACCCACAGATGGCACCACTTTACAACATCAACTAGTTGATGGCCTTCCGCCACATATGCTCTCCTCCAACATCATTCCAGACGCCAGCAATGGTGGTGCTGCCACAATTCTAACACATCCCAATGCAGCAACATGGGCCATGCGACAATATCATCAGGCGCCAACGCAAACCATGGATCATCCACCACAAGCCTCGTCGCCAATGTTGAGCCAACAGTCGTCACCATCGAGTAGTCGTGCCACAAGTCCCAATCGTACATCGTCATGCGATAGCGGTGGCGGTCTAATGCAGCAACAACAACAACATCAGCCATCACAAAATCCCTCCCAGACACGTAACATGTCACAACGTTTAGCGGGTATGAAGAATATAGGTATAAGACGTCCATCGGCTGAGACAACACCACCACCACAGATGACCCAAATGGGTGGAGGTGAATTGATAATGCCCACGAGTATGAAACATATACAGGAGGTAAGTGAGGGGATGAGATAATCTTGTTGATGATATTTTTTTAATAATTCCTTTTTATACTTCTTCCAGGTGGTTATGAACAATGAAACAACTGGAAATCAATTACAAAATCTAATACGCAATGGTTTTACCCGGTCCGGCAATCATCCGCGCATTAAGGCCAACACCTATATACCACCACATCAGCAGCAGCAACAGCAGCAACAACAACAATCGCCAGTCAACCAACATTATCAGGGTAATTTTGCTGTCAATGCCGGTCTAACATATGCCATGCAAAATATGTCCATGTCTGATATGTCATCCAGTGGCCATCACAGCATGGATGGCAGTAGCACTATGACAAGTATGAATTCCAACAAAAGTACGGGCAGTGATTCTGGTAGTTCCATTGGTTCATCCGGTGAAATATCACCACCGGAAACACCCACGCTTATGATGAGCAATGCCACAACAAATCCCGCCATGCGAGGTGGTGATGGCCAACAGTCACAGCAGCAGCAGCAACAACCAACACAGAAACATCATCAGCCCTCACAGTTGAGTTATAACAAACAGATGGGCCTACAACGTTTAAATGGCCGATCTGAAAAAATGTCCTCCGCTGGTGGTGGTGGAAATAATGTGATGTCCAACAGTGCTATACTCTATGCCCAGACAGCTCAGCAACAGCAGCAGCAACAACAACAGCAACAGCAGCAACAGTCAGCCAATCAACAAGCCATATATGCCGAAATGATGTTGGGCCCGGGCCCGGCAAATGTCGGCTCCACAAATGTCATGCAAACCTCCATGACCAACAACAATCCCGGTGGCAATCCTGCAGCAAATGTGGTTTCCAGCAACAACAACATGGTGGGTAATAACACCGTGCTAATCAGTTCACCCTCGGCCGCGGCTGGTACAGCAGCCACACTGGGCAATGTCCTGTCAACGAATTCGGTGTTGTTGCAATCGGCCCACCAGCAACAGCAATACAATGCCACATATCCTTATCATGCGGCAGCAGCTGCTGCAGCTCAACATTTGGCCGCGACAACACGTCCGCAAATTATGACCCACAATCCCGGTATGGCGCCGCCACCACACAGCACTTTCCGTGTGCCTAGTTTTCAGCTGCCACCCAATGGCGGTGAACTGCTGTATCAAACCTATCATCCACCTGGTATAGCATTTTTGTCGGGAGCTCCAGCACCGCCACCCGGTGCCCCACCTGGTAGCCTGAGGAGTACGAATAGTGGAGCCGCTGTCAACCAACCGCCACCAACGCCACAACAAATTCCAGCGCCAACAGGACAGCAGCAGGCGGCGGGGCAACCGCCACAGCTGCAACAGACACCACAAGCCACAGTTCTAGCCTCACCCTACAGTTCACTAAGTGTGAGTTTAAGTACGAAACCCCTGTCCTGCTACAACTGCGGTTCACAGACCCACAGTGGGCGGGAATGCCAGGAGGCGTCGATGGACGATGTGACACGTAGCGCCATTTATAAATTAGACTATTCACAGGCAGCGTCGGGAGCGGGGGCGGGAACACCAAGTGCGGCTGCCTCCACACCTGCCAATGCCTCCTCCAATCAGCAGCAACAACAACAATCTGTAAGCAACAGTGCATCAGAATCTTCAATATCGTCGTCGGGAACAACGACGCATCATAAAAGTCATGACAGCAGCGCTGTTAATTCCCTGTCATCATCGTCATCGGTGGCATCGGCGTCCTCTGTTTCAAATACAACGCTGGCAGCGGCGGCCACAGCGACAGCGGGGGCAAAATGAAGGGACAACACGAACCCGAACAACAACAACAAAGTGAGTTTTATTCATAGATAAAAACAAAAACCATAATCATAAACAAAACAGAAAAAAGAAATGAAAATGGTGTTCAATCATGATCCAGATGTTGGAGGAAGAAGAAGACGTAAGACTATATATGTATATAAATCTATATATACACACAGACACCACATACAGACCACATATATATAGAGGTAGATGCTAATAGGTTTAAACTGGATTTAAGCGTAAGGTTATACGTTCGCAAAACAACAAAAAAAGAAAAAACACAGAAAATGAAAAAAAAACAACAAAACAAATATATGGAACTTTATTATAGTGATATACAACAATAATTACAAAAACAAGGAATCAAAAATACGAATTCAAATACTAAACAAGAAGAAGGGTTATGGCGAAGCAGAAATAAAACGATCAAACATCATAAATAAATCAATTTACTTCGTTTGAAAACAATAGTTGTTAACTATTTTGAGATTGTAAATTTGAATTGTTGATGATTATTCTTGAGTAACCAATCTTTATTGCCTATAACATAAAGTTATAATAACATAAAGTATATAAAAATTCAAATACTTTTTTTGCAGATTAATGAAAATTTATAACACTTCTTCTTTTCCTCACTATAACCCTTCTTCTTTTCCTCTTCTACTATTCTTCGCCTGTATTTAAGTATATATATGTATAAGCGCGTGTTTTATTCTTGTTTATTTTTTTTTTTTAAATTAAGAATGATTAATATGTCTATGTTGTTATTTGACATAAGCATATTTTTTTAAGTAAATAATTTGACGATTTTTTTGGTTAAAGAAAATTTTTCTTTTTTTAATTTTTATTATTATTATTATTGATATTTAAATACAAAAAAACATGTTTTAATTATTATAAGTTTTGTTATTTTGGAAAAAATATTTAAAGTAATTTATTTTAGAAACCCACAAAAAGAAAACGAATAAAAAATTGTAAAATACTGTAAAAAAATAATAAAAAAGCAACAAAAAGTAATAGAGATAACAAAAACTAAAAAAACCCAATTAGGTGTCCTTTTTTATTTTTTTTTTTTGTAAAAAATATTTTTCTTCCCATTTATAATTAAATTTCTGTGTCCAATTACGAAGACCAAATACCTTTGTAAAATCCCTTAAACATTGAAACCCCTCTTTTTTTACAAATTTTCTAAAAGAAAGTTTTTGAGGGAAATAAGCTGAAGGGCATATTGACTTGATTTTATGCATGATCAGATATGGAAGATTTTATAGGCAACCAGAAATTTGATTTATAGGTGATCAAATACAGAAGTCTTTATAGACGATCAGAAAATTACCTTCTTCATCAGCAAAATGCCTCTATGGACACGCTAAAGGATACAGGGAGCCTTTATAGCGAGCTAAAGGAAGTACTTATAGAAGAAGGGACGACATTTTTCCTAGATATGCTGGGTATTCATAGACTAGCCCAGCGGAATCATAGAAGAGCTGTGAAAGCTGGATTCTTTATAGGCGATCTGAAACAGGAAGTCAACTTTTATGAAATCCGTGAAATATTGAAACCGCCTTTTTATATAAGTTTTCAAGAAGAACAGCATACTAATAAATAAGAGGCGACATTGGACTAGGCTAGGGAAATATTGACCTGATTTATAGTTGATCATATACAGAAGACTTTATAGACGAACAGAAAATAATCTTCTTCATTTGCAAAATGAGTCCATAGACAAGCTGAAGGAATTCTTTATATGTAAGCTAAGGGAAGTCTTTTAGGTCGAACTAAAGCTGAGTCTGTATAAACTAGCCCTGCGGAATCATAGATCAGCTGAAAGCTGAATTCTTTATAGGCGGTCTGAAGCAGGAAGTCTTTTATAAAAAGCTAAATGCGAGAGGAGATTTATTGACAGCTTAAAGGCCAGAACGTCAGCTAAAGCAGGGGACCACAGGTGACCAATTTTCAACCGCAAGAAATGCCTTAATAGACCTCTAAAAGAAAGTCTTTTAGAGGTGTGTTGCAGCTGGGAGTCTTTTAAAAATGAGAAGAGGCTTCCGAGCTGGCGGAAGTCTTTATGAATGAGCTGAAGTTATTTTTTTTTTTGACTAGCTGAAGCAGTAAGTCTTCATAGACGAGCTAAAAGTCTGAAGGATGAAGTGTAGCAAGGTGTCATTAATGAGACTCCCTTCAGCTCTGGAGTCTTTTTAGATGATCTGAAGGTAAGGGAGTCATTACAGACGAACTGAAGCCGGGTTTCTTCATAGACGAACTGAGGGGAGTTTTTATAGACGAACTGAAGGTAGTCTTTATAGACGAACTGAAGGGAGTTTTATAGACGATTAGAAGGGAGTCTTTATAGACGAGCTGAAGGAAGTCTTTATAGACGACCTGAAGGGAGTCTCTATAGATTACCTGAAGGGAGTCTCTATGGATGACCTGAAGGGAGTCTTTATAGACGAGCTGAAGGGAGTTTTTATAGACGAGCTGAAGGGAGTATTTATAGACGACTTGAAGGTAGTCTTTATAGACGACTTGAAGGTAGTCTTTATAGACGACTTGAAGGTAGTCTTTATAGACGAACTGAAGGGAGTCTCTATAGATGACCTGAAGGGAGTCTCTATAGACGAGCTGAAGGGGGTCTTTATAGACGAGCTGAAGGGAGTCTTTATAGACGAGCTGAAGGGAGTTTTTATAGACGAGCTGAAGGGAATATTTATAAACGACTTGAAGGTAGTCTTTATAGACGACTTGAAGGTAGTCTTTATAGACGAACTGAAGGGAGTCTTTATAGACGAGCTGAAGGGAGTCTTTATATTCGACCTGAAGGGGATTGTTATAGACGAGCTGAAAGGAGTCTTTATAGACGACTTAAAAAGGAAGTAGATAGGACCATGAAATTCCGTTGAAAATCAATATTTTAGAATTCACTATTTAGATTTTAGAGTACTGAGTCTGTATTCTAACTAAATTGAGGTTATCTAATCAGAATTTAATTATTTTTTTTATATACTTTATATTTATTTTTTTTAATTAAATAATTTTTTTTTACATTTATTTTTTATTTAACAAATTTGTATTTAATTTAATTTTGAAAAAAAAAAACACGCAACCATATATACATATATATCTTGTATGAGTGTATAACTTTTATTCTATAGCTTAAATCCATGTTATGGCCTAAATGCCTGCTCTGGTAAATGTTTGGTGTGATACGTCTTCACAAAACTCTGGCACGATAAGGAAAATAAAAAAGCAAAATAATATTAAGTTCCACTATAAAGAAAAGAAATGCTCTTCTTCAGAAAATTTTGTGAGAAAAATATGAAGAAGAATAAGTGTTCATGTTGAGGGCGGTTCACAGCCATCTTCAGCATTACAACCCCTCCTTAAGAAGAAATTTACAGAAGATTTATGAAGAAGGAACAATTGAAATTGGTCGGATGTGGGGTCTAAGGTAAGGCTACATGTGTTATGATTTTTCTCCTCAAAATAGGATTACCTCGAATTCGTAATTTCGATATGGTAATCCTGTAAGTTGAAAAAATCATCAACATAAAGCAGCCGTACTTACTATCCTTCCTACCCTACCGAAATGTTTAGATTTGATAATAAGCAAACATAATGTGTATGTGTTTTTATACATAAAACAAAAACAATTTAGTAGTAATTTATAATCATTAAACAAATAAATTTAAACGTAAATTTTTAATTTTAAATAAACTGATACTGATATATGAGAAGAAGAAGAAGAAAAAAGGCGGAAATAAAATTTCACGCTTTTTTTTAAATTATTATTATTTTAAATATATTTTTCTTTGTCTCTTAAAAGAAATAGTGTGTAAGTAAGGTAAACAAAAACAACAACAAATTACTCTATTTATTAAGTAACAAATATATAAACAAACAAAAAATTATATATTTAAAAAAAATTAAAATTTTATTAGTGAAAAAAAAAATTATTATTAAAATGGAAAAAAACAACACAAAAAATCCCTAGTGTATTTTCTTTAAGTGTTTAAAGACTAAGTAAAATTATATATAAATATAATGTATGAAAAAACAAACAACACAAAAAATATATATATTATTATATATTAGACAAAAAAGTATGTAAGAAAACAAAAAATAATAAGAATGTTAGGTTAACTTTATTAAAAACACAGAAGAAGACGAAAAGAAAAGTACTCTGAAAAAAAATGAAAACTGGAAACAAAATTACAATGTACAATAGCAAAAAATCGAAAAAACAGAATATTTATAAGTTAATATTATTTATAATACAGGGACTGAATAAGCGAGGAGGCTCACAAAATTCGATTTTTTATACCACCTGTGCAGAGTCTTTATAGACGAACTGAAGCTCAGGGAGTCTTATAAGCGAGATGAGACCTTCAGGAGCTGAAGCAGGGAGTCTTTATAGACGAGCTGAAGCAGGGAGTCTTTATAGACGAGCTCAAGCAGGGAGTCTTTATAGACGAGCTGAAGCAGGGAGCCTTTATAAACGAGCTCAAGCAGGGAGTCTTTATAGACGAGCTCAAGCAGGGAGTCTTTATAGACGAGCTGAAGCAGGGAGTCTTTATAGACGAGCTGAAGCAGGGAGTCTTTATAGACGAGCTGAAGCAGGGAGTCTTTATAGACGGGCTGAAGCAGGGAGTCTTTATAGACGAGCTGAAGCAGGGAGTCGTTATAGACGAGCTGAAGCAGGGAGCCTTTATAAACGAGCTCAAGCAGGGAGTCTATATAGACGAGCTCAAGCAGGGAGTCTTTATAGACGAGCTCAAGCAGGGAGTCTTTATAGACGAGCTGAAGCAGGGAGTCTTTATAGACGAGCTGAAGCAGAGAGTCTTTATAGACGGGCTGAAGCAGGGAGTCTTTATAGACGAGCTGAAGCAGGTAGTCTTTATAGACGAGCTGAAGCAGGGGGTCTTTGCAGACGAGCTGAAGCAGGGAGTCTTTATAGACGAGCTGAAGCAGGGAGTCTTTATAGACGAGCTGAAGCAGGGAGTCTTTATAGA